ATTTCCCTCAATTTTTTCCTCTCAATAATTAAAACTGCTTTCCGCTTGTGATCTCATTACAGTAAGCCTGAATCAGCCTGAAATTAATAAGTTTATTAATATCGCAAAATCAATCTTATATAATATATAAAATCTGCCAAAAAAAAAAAAGGCCCTTTCATAGGCTATGGATAAGGTATTTTACACACTAAACTCAATGCTTTTCGGATGTCTATTTAGTTAGAGGTTAGAGCTGAGAGGTAAAAGCATTACAGCTGTCAAATATTAATTAAAGAACAGTATGCTAATTAAGAATAGAAGTGTAAAAAGAAATACCTACACGCATGAATTCTTTTTCCTCTGCGCGTGTGTAGGGACTAAATATGACGGGGTAAAACACGGCCTGCAATATGATTTTACATGAAGTGGTCGCCGTCGAAGAATCGATGCTTTCCAAGTTTAACGGCATATGCAGATAACAGAGAGGGAAAAGAAACTAACAAAATGACGTACCATGAGTAGCTCAAAATCACTCTATCTTGAAATTAATCTCCAAGCGTTCTTCTTGCTCCCGCCGTCCTCGTCCAAGAATACAAATTAATGATCAGATTAGTATAATGCCATTGTAGGTAACTGAGGATGACAATGATGTACTCTCCCTTGTACTTTTCTTTCTATTGCTGATATTAATAGGTTGGCTGGGTTTATTACATTTTTTTGTTTCCTGCCACGCTTAGATCGAAGACATGAGTAAAATGAAAACAAGGGGTAGTGTAAATATTCTAACTTTATACTGCCTGCAAGGGTTAAATTTAGACACCATCATAATCCAAATCCGTAAGCTGAAAACAAACGTTATCAACCAGCGTGGTCAGTAATACTGTGCCAGCTAGTAAGCGCACGCGTGATCCGATGGGAAGCTACTTAAACCATCCCCAAAAAAAAAAAAATGTTGATGCAAGTTCTAGGAATTATGGATATATAGTTGAAGTTTTCTCAAACCGCGCCATGTACCGTGATGAATATGTAATCATATATCGAGTGTATTTACAGCATGACCAATCAACGAGGAAAGTTCAAACATACTGCCAATGGAGCCGGCCTACGGCTTCCAAACATCAGCAGAGCAAGTTTAAAATTAACAACTGAAAACTGGTAGCTGTAACTTGGTGGTTAAAAAGATACCTGAAATTTTCTGATTTCACTTTCTCAATGAAATCAGTCTCTCGAAGAGGGATAGGAATCATTATGTGTACACACAGTATTATGAGTGAGCGGCGCAAAAACAGAGCCATTGTATAACGCGTCGCTCTTGAGCCGTAGAAGCTTCCCTCTCAAGCCTCTGGCCCTCACTAACTTCTGGTACAGTGGAAGCCTGCCTGGCATAGATCCGGGAAAATCATATAGAAATGGAGCTTCCATCGAACCTGTTACCGGACGAAGCGAGCCCGGGGTGGATGAACAAAGCAGACAACGCGTGGCAGTTAACTGCAGCCACAGTGGTGGGTCTCCAGAGCATACCGGGGCTGGTCATCCTCTACGGGAGCCTCGTCAAGAAGACCTGGGCCGTTAACTCTGCCTTCATGGCCTTCTACGCCTTCGCTGCTGTTCTACTTTGCTGGGCTTCTTGGGCTTTCCGAATGTCCTTCGGTGACGAACTGGTTTGCTTCGTGGGAAAACCAGGCGTTGCGCTGGACGACAAGTTTCTGTTAGAGAAGGCGTTTCTGGGGTTGTTTCCCACCGCAACCATGGTGTTCTTTCTTCAGGGCGTGTTCGCCGGAATCACCTTGATCTTAGTAGCCGGAGCATTACTTGGTCGGATGAACTTTCGAGCTTGGATGCTGTTTGTGCCACTCTGGCTCACTTTTTCCTACACCGTCTCTGCCTTTAGCATTTGGTCCCCCAATGGGTGGCTTGCAAAGCAGGGCGTCATTGACTTCTCCGGAGGCTTTGTTATTCATCTCTCCGCCGGCGTTGCCGGCTTCACACCGCTGCTTATTGGGTATATCTTCGTCCCTCCCATCCAGCCACTTTATCTGGTTCTTAAATCGTCAGAAACTATCAGTGTTGTTTGACTTACAGTAAAATGTATACGGCGTTTGCGTTTTTAATATATAGGTGGGTGGGTCCAAGATCAATGAGGATAGGGACGCGAGTCCGCAAACACCAAACAACATGATTATGGTGCTCGCCGGAGCGGGGCTGCTGTGGATGGGGTGGAGTGGATTCAACGGCGGAGGGCCGTTCGTGGCGAGCACGGTGGCATCTCTGGCCGTCTTCAACACACACGTGTGTGCCGCCACCAGCATCATCGTCTGGGTCATCCTGGATGCCTTCTACTTGGGAAAGCCCACCGTGTTTGGCGCCGTGCAAGGCATGATCACTGGCCTTGTCTGCATCACTCCCGGCGCAGGTAATACTAATAACCACCTTACATTCTGTATATTTCCGATATTTCCTCCTTCACGCTTAAAACACTTTATTTTAATTCACCTTGCAAATAACTGCAGGAGTTGTGCAAGGATGGGCAGCCATCCTGATGGGATTGATATCCGGAAGTGTTCCCTGGTACACCATGATGATTCTCCATAACAGGGTGAGGTTCTTGAAGGATATTGATGACCCTATGGCCGTCTTCCACACACACGCCGTGGCCGGCGTTCTTGGCGGCCTTCTCACAGGTTTCTTCGCAGTTCCTAAACTCTGCCATCTCTTCTATGCGGTGCCCGATTGGGAGAAGTACATGGGCCTTGCTTATGCGCTTCAGAATGGATCTACACGTGCTGGTTTGAGACAGATGGGGATCCAGGTCGAAGCCATGGTGCTCGTGATATGCTTGAACGTGGTCATGACGAGCTTGATTTGCTTGGTGGTGAGGACCATAGTACCACTTCGAGTTGAGATAGAGGATTTGGTTGTGGGGGACAAGGCAGTCCATGGAGAGGATGCATTTGCGTTGTGGAGTGCTGAGGGCGAAAGAATTCAGAATCTAAAGCGCAATAAAGTTTTTGATGCTCAAGATTACCCATCTTTTACCCCCAAGTCAAGCAGCACAATTCAAATGGTCTGAGTCTAACGCGTCTGCATTTTGGAAAAGTGAGAATATTCATATCTAAATTAAATTCTCTTGAAATGACTGTGTTCCTTCAACCTGCATTGCTATGTTCTGGATATATGTATCAAATTCAACACGGAATCCGTTCCTTCGCTCCCAAGCAAGTACACTCTTTAATATAAGATCTTGTTTGACTTTTGTTTTGATCCTAAATATAAGACCTCGATCAATCTATTTTGTCTTTCATGTTTATATATAGTTTTTCAAGATAGTCTTTCTAACAATAATAATTTTAGCCAATACATTTAATTAGTAAGAATATTTTAGGAAAGACAACTCCTATTTATTATAAATAACTAACTTAACTTTTTTTTTTTAATTTACTCAAATTAGTCAACTAGCTCTTATAAATAGAACCTGAAGTAGTATTTAGGAATATCCTTGCGATCATGGGGAAAGAAAATAAGATTATGAAGGTATTTGAATCACTCCAAAAATGTTTTTAAAAAGTATTTTTTAAAAAAATTGAGGCAAACTCCTCTACATATCTACTTCGTATGTCGTAAAATTATTTTGAAAATCATGATTTAGTTTTTATCCAAACATTTCTATGTCAAGAGAAAATCAGATACCATTTATATGCTGTTGTCGTGTTTTCTGTTTAACAAAAGGAAAGTATTTTCCGACTGAGGCACTGCAAAAAAATGTCAAGGCATTGATGTATATGCCGAGTTAAGGGAAGAACTCATTCAACCCCATCACCACTGTCTACGGGTCAAAATGAAATTTGAATTTATAAGCGTCTGTCTCTTTTAACATTGGGTTACTGGGCATTTTTATTAATATTAGACTATTTTCAAGGAGTACAGAAAATCCTAAATTATTCATTAAAATAGTGTTGCTCTTCAAATATTAAAACGCGCAGCTTCACGTTTATAGGCGTCACATAGCTTACTCATCAGGTATTCATCAACCCAAAAAACCTATCAACCTGAGTTGGTAGTTAACTGGCAATGATGCCAACAAAGTATTGCTCTGATGGTATAAGTTCCCGCTAGATTTCTTTTAACCTTGAGTTCGAGTTCCAACACCTCTGTAGGAAGAAGAAACCATGAACTCTAAATCGAATTAGCCGATTTTTTAGGTATTTGGTAATAAGCATATATGTACTTGTTGGCATGTAAAGCCTTAAAAAATGGTGCTATGGGCTTTGATAAAAAGAAAGCAGCGGTGCCAATTATTTCACACTATTGAATTTTATGTATTAGTTGCATTATTTATATTTTTAAGGTAAAAACACTCTAAACATGAAAATAACGTGACTATTAATCGGAATCAGTTTCAATACTCATCATCTTGATATATATTTTGAACTCATTGGATCTGGACCGTTTATATTTGATTTGAACGATTCAGATTTAAAATCTTTACTTAATTATTTTTAAATAGAAAAAACTATTTTTGCAAAAATGATAGTTAATAAATTATTTTTATTTTAGATTATATACATATTAATATAATTATTTAAAATAAATAAAAAATCAAATCTAAATTATCAAAATAAAATACAGATAATTGAGATATGATGAATTGGTGAGTGCTGACACTAGCTTTGTTATTAATCAGTTGAGGACGGGGTGCCCCGGCAAAACAGTGAAAAGGGAAAAATACCATTTAGCCCTTCTTTAACTTGTAGTGGTAAGACCATATGCAAACCGGTCTTCCTTTCTTAACTACTAAGGCCTTGCGATCTCAGCATTGACTCAATCCGCGTGACGTTAAACGACCGGTGGAATTCTTATTTATTACAAGTGAACAATGAAGAAATGAAAGCGATCAATTAACAATTTAATAATTAACATTAAACTATAGGTGGATTTGGACGAATGGACGCATTTCACATGAATTTATTATTTGCTTCTGAAAATTGGAAATAGAAATAGGAATGGGAGTTAAAGCATTGAAGTCCAGACACGGAAAATACAAGACGCAGACCGTATTATTTTTAGGTTCCAAAACTTCCCAAGTCCTCCTGCTCAGCTGAGTTCAGAGTTCAGACTATCCCGTGGCAGAATGACGGACGGAGCGTTGCGTGTTCTCGACGGAATGCACATCAAAGCCGTCGATCTCTCCCTGCCGAAGCCCGACGACGTCTTCTCTGGAGCTCAGCTACTGGACATAGCCGATTCTAGAGCCTCTGATTCCCTCTTTGGTCTACCATTACCGGAATTAATTAGAGCCTCTGCTCTATTGCGTATCATCACCAGCGATGTCGACACTTTCCGGTCTTCCGAGTTCACCAAGGACAAAGCCTCCCGGATATTCAAAGACTACATCGCAGCGATCGCCGATGAACTCAAAGGTTCATATCCTTTTTGTGTGGGAAATACTGAATTCTAGTTTTGTTGTCTTAGCATATCCGATATCTGCCTCTTTTCAATCTCAATCACTCAAATAATGCACTATAATTACAACCTTTTCATTTTTCAGCGAGGTCGATTTAACTCTTGATTTCCTAGTCACCAGTGTTGAGTGGTTCGTGGGCTTTTGTACGATGTGTTTGGTACTGAACCCCTTTTAATCTGTTCGGAGTTTCCGCTGGGTAGGGAAAAATGAAGATGAATTAGGAAGATTTCAGGAACAAAAAAATGCCACTAGAAATAGCACGAGTCAAATAGGGAATTCAGAAGTCTCTTTTTGATACTTAGATCAGACTTAAAAAAAACCTGATGTGGATGATGGGCCTGAATTTCACTTTCTTACGGAAAACGTTAAGCTTCTTTAACCTTTCTTTTTCTTAAGTTCTATGATAAGTTTTGAACGATTATCAAATCTTCCGCGTTTTCCAAATTGCGCTTTCATGATCAAATAGTTCGGCGTTGATGTTTTGACAAAGGAAAAAACGCTTCATATTCATACATTGAAATTATACGTGTAGGTGATCCTCTTGTTGTATCCATCTTGGATGGTAACACTCTGCGGTTGCTTTTGGAGGACGAGGACGATTTTGCCATGTTAGCAGAAGATATTTTCACTGATTTGGACGCTGAGGATAAGGGGAAAATCAGTAAGAGTGAAATCCGTAACGCTCTTGTCCAGATGGGAGCTGAGATGGGTGTTCCTCCTTTCTCAGGTTCACTTTTTTTCTGCTTTAGGCTGCGGCGCTTGTTTTTATTATTGTTTTCTGTTTCTTCCTGTTTTAAGCTATTATACTTTATCAGGAATTTATAAGTGGCTGCAGCATCAAAGCACTAGGACCAAACTTTGGCGTTATCTTCTCCCTCCCCAGTAGATTTGTTGTCCCTTGATAATGAATTGAAATTATGCAATATATAATCATAACCACCAAAATATAGATACTCTGGGATCCGATCCGCGTACGCGTGTTAATGGAAGATGCACAATTTATTTTGTATATGCAAGAAAAATGAACCTGGTCCTTTCTCTTAGCTGATCCATATACTCATGTTTATGGTACTTGTGAACTTCATGTATGGTAGTTCTCCAAATCTGAGAAACTGACAGCTTTTAGCGTCTTGGACAGAGTTTCCTCAGCTAAACGACATACTGCGAAAACATGGAGCAGATGGAGAAGAACAACTGGGCCAGGCACAGTTTGCACAACTTCTCCAGGCCGTTCTGCAAGATCTAGCTGAGGAGCTTTCGCAAAAGAATGTCATTTTTATTCGGAACATAAAAATCATCAATGGCTCTAAGCTAAGACAGGTATCTTCTACATCCATTTGTCTTTACCCCAGTTAAATTTCATTCTTATATCTATAACATTAATCTATTCCATGGTAAGTGTTTCTTGCATATCTGAGAACTGATTTACTATTCATCTTCCGAGTCTAAAGATGACAATGTTAGCATCTGTTGCGCTCTTATCTCCTTTCTGTCTTGTACTATTCCGGTCCTAATTATAAGAGCCTGTTGACCAATTTGAGGAGATTAAGAAAGTAAGTTGAGTTAGTTATTTGTCCTAAATAGATATTATCTTTCCTAAAATATCCTTGCTAATCAAGTGTGTTGGCTAGAACTATCCTTGTTAGAAGGGCTACTTTGAAAAAAAATATATAAATATGAGAGACAAAGTGGATTGGGGTCTTATATTTAGAATCAAAATAAAAATCAAACAGGGTCTTATATTAAGGATCAGAGGTACTATAACGTAGCATTGTAAGTTTTGCTCAGTGGGATTGGTCATATCAATTCAAGGTTGGACATTGAAGTCAGAAAGGGTTTTTTCTTCTTTTTTTTTTTCAAAAAATAAAATAATAAGTAGATGCCGTCGTGCCAGTTTACGCCTATGGTTATGCATAACTGATATTGTAAACAACGATGCAGCTGTTGACCAATGAAAAGGAATTAAGCAGCATTGCAGAAAAGCTTGTGCAGGAAAAGCAGAATTCCAAGAGCGGGTCAGGGAATAAGGAAATATTAAGGAGCTTCCTTGAAAGAAATGCGAAAGAGTTGGGTTTACCACTATCTGAAGCGGACGAGGCAGTTGTTCTTCTTTATGATGATATTTTTGCTGATGTAGGTAAAGAGAAACATGAGGAATCGGATAAAGATGAGTTGGTAAGGTTGTTGAAAGAAATACTGCAGAAATTTGCGGAGCGGCTTGAATCCAGTCCAGTTTTTCAGGATTTTGCTGTATAAGGTACTCGAGTTATTGCACAGCTCTTCAGATTCATTATCGGGTGAATTTGCTGTGCTGTACGTGAGTCATTTATCTGTGCATCTAAATACACACCCGTCCCTTCTGCTGCGAAAATTTGCATTATACAGTACCTTCTATAGTGAGTTCTGTATTTGTGGATTTATGTAACATGCACATGAACTCCATTTCTTTTTTCTTTTTTACCTTCGAACTCCATATTACAATTATAGAAGAACATGCTGTTGTGATCCGAGTTTTTTTTTTTTTTATGGCTTTGAAAAAAGTCAATAGGCCTGTAGATCCAGGGCTCATCATCTCTTGTTATCCTCAAGTACTGTCTTGAGTGGGTTGGTAAAAAAGGTCATGATTTGAGGAGAGGATCGAGTGTGAAGTGTGAACATTAATCAGGGTTTAATCGCTTTTTTTTTTTTTTTAACAAAGAGAGGGCCTAAGCCTAAAACAAATTACATGTTACTCAAGTGTGGGTATAAATATTCCAAGACGTCATTTCGCTTAGCGCCCCAACATATTTGGCGCCATATATCCGTGCAGAAGTATTCATTCCTCCGACAAGGACTACTTTTCAACCAAATGAGCAACCATATTTGATGTCTTGGAAGCATATTGAATACGAAGAAACCAATCACGTCTCATAATTTCTTTTATGCGATCCCAAACTATGAAAAACACATACGTGTCTGTGAATCATTAATGAGTCTATTTACTAGTAGTTTGCAATCAGACTCAGAAGTAATACTATTCAAGTCGGGATCTCAAGGGGTAGTCATTGGCTTCAGCAACGCCCATTCTTTAGCTGATGTCTAGAATAAAAGTTTTGGAATTGTAAATTTCCGTGCTGCTATTGGGCTCGGAAACGGATACAACTATCGTCCAATGAGAGTAGCGACCTGGGTGTGGGCCGCATCAATAATAGCCAATATTGTTCGGCCCAAAAGACAAACAAGAATGGCCCAAAATAACACTAACTCAGAGGGATTAAATCCCAGGCTGTCTCTGTACCCAAAGCCCCTCAGATAAGCAGAAGCATTGATACCCTATTTAGGCCGGACCATCAGCGACGGTATTTCTGTTCCTGGCAACGTACTTCATCCAATCTTAAATATAAAAATTAATTTAACTTTTAATTTAATTTTATATATAAGATCTTAATTTATTTTGTCTCTCATATTTATCCATTTCTTCCAAAATAATCCTCATAGTAATTATATGTATTAAAGATTTCATCAAATGGTACTTCTAACTAATACAAATGATTAGCAAGAATATTATAGGAAAAATAATACCTATTTTTTACAAATAACAAACTTAACAAATTTTTTTAATCTATTCAAATTAGCCAACTAACTTTTATATTATTAAAGATTCGAGATAGTGTCTCAGTTTGACTTCCCAATTCATATTCAACAACTTGTGGATCTGCAAGTCATGAGGCTATAGCAAATCTCTAGCCTTTTATCTATCAGCATGTCTATTACCAAGGAAGGAACATGTGGGGCTGGGATAAATACATCATAGCATGCTATCGTTCTCGAAGTCTGATTTTGTGATGCCTTTGAGAGAATTGAACATTTCACATTCGCATGCCAGTAACCGTGAATCCAATTTGCCACGAAGCCACTTTCATTCAGGGAAGGACCTCGTGACTGAAAAGTCTACACGTTATGCATTCATCTAAACGAAGAAAGAAACACGTTATGCATGTGAATGCCCGTCGTCGTATCCTCCGCCCTGTTGCCCTCGCTTTTATATTACTATTATTGTTATTGATTATTGATGATTATACCAAAGCTTAGGAGATTGCACGTGACTTGGAATAGAATTACCAGACGGATCAACATCCTCCACCAGTGCCGTAACCTTTCCCCATCAACGTACCTATATTGCCCCTCTCATAACACGTCTTTCTCATTTCGGGCTCTCCTCACGAAGCCATGTTTCCTTATTTCCGAGTTGTAATTACTGCACCAAATAAACAATAAATACAAATAATAACTACTCTGGCATTTTAAAATGATTGTTATAATGGCTGGTACAGTTAAAAGTAAAAAAATAAATAAATAAATTTGTATGGATAAAGTTAAGGCAGTAACTAGTAATTACTGACCACGTTATCCCAATTAGTTGTGTGTGTTTGGCGAGACGCTCTGCCCGTCCAAATCAGATGTCCCAATGTTGCAAAACGCACCAAACAAGTTCAAATTTGCCCCACAAAGTTTAACTTTCGAACTTTTGAGTCATACAGGAATTAGGCAGAATATCAAGCAGCAGCGACCTACTTTTGATAGATCACCATTTAAATAAGCGATGGCATGGGCAAAGGCTTCATGATTAACGAGAAGGAAGTATATAATCCTTATCTTATAAACCGATCATAAAGATAAACAGAACTTTGAACTTCTGGCACAGTAAAACAGCCCCAGAAAGCAAGTAATGGGCTTAGCAAATTACAACGAAACCCGCCACAACCTTCCTGAATCCTTACTTCCCTCCTACACACCAACAAACCTCAGACAAAGAAATCCTCAATAGCTAATGAACACCACCGATGACAACATGAATGCTGACTCTTCAATTAAAACAAATACACGTGTAGCCGACCACTGCATAGCCACTTCATTCTTTGCCGTCAGCAGCCCGAAGTGATCCCAGCTGAACCGGAGCTTGAGTTTGAACCACTTTGGATGACCCATAGGATGCAATATCAACACCCTGAGCCTTCTCTTTCTCAATCTGCTCCTTAATCCAGAAGTACGTTATTCTCAGCCCATCCTACCAGATGAAAAGTAAGATCACTGTAAGTACGCACAGAATAAAGCTGACGCTTAACCACATCAAAACTTCTAGAAAATTAAGAGAAGAAAGATGATACAAGGCTGAGGTCAACTGAAAAGAAGTGAAAGTGAGAGGATCACTTTCTTTCTTCTGAATATACCTTCAACTTCATAGTTGGAGCCCATCCAAGTTTCTCTTTGATCAGAGTGTTGTCTGAGTTACGACCGCGGACACCCTCTGGGCCAGGAATGTGGTGAATAGGAATATTCTTGTCCTCGAAGCTAAGAACAATCTCAGCCATCTCATTCATGCTCACCATCTCATCACTCCCAATGTTTACTGGCTCACGGAAATCTGATTTAGTCAATCTAAACACAAATAATGGACCAAAATGGTAAGTCTTGTAAATAAGAAAACCTCACAAAAAAAAAACAAGAAGAAGAATTAAAAGAAGGCAGGAAAAAAAACAAAAAGAAAAATGCTTACGTATCACTGCAAAACACTTTGCTTGTTTTTCCCAAAAAAATCAGGCAAAAAAAAAAAAAAGGATTTTCCCATAAGAAAAATGAAGTAAAACACAAGCACGTCAGGAGTAGAAAATTCTTGGCGAAGAATTCAGTACAAAGGGGTTCCTTCAATTAATAATGTTTCTCTTTAAATGCCCCAATTTTGAAAAAACTCAGTTTCACTAGGAAACCTACTTACAAAGTTATAGATTTTCAGTATCAAAAAATTTTGACATTAGTATCTAACTGTGAAATATATTTACGTCAGTAAATAAACATTAACGTTCATAATTATTCTAAATATAATCAGCTGGCTCCATTTTATTTTTTGATACAAGGGCTATCTGATGATCTGGGAGAGCAGAAAAGGGAGATGGGCCAATGCGCGAGTTGTCACAATTGAACTCTATTCGTTGGTTCCCAAGGGAATTTGGGTGCAGGTTGAGCTAAGGCTCATTGCTAGGCTTCATCCTTATTCACAGATGTGGCAAGTCCAGAAATTAACTTTTCAACTCGGGGAACCCCCACAAAGATTATCTGCATGATTCACAGAATCAGTTAAGACTAACCTAAGTACACCTTCAACGCACTCATCAATGAAGGTGAAGGATCTTGTTTGCAATCCATCTCCCCACATCTCAAACTTGTCGGCGGAAGTGAGGGCCTTTCGGCAGAAAGCTGCAGGAGCCTTCTCCCTTCCACCTGTGTGAAGGAACAACAAAGTCACAAAATTGGCAAATCAACAACGCTGCAATTCATATTTTCCGAATTATAACCCCATTTAGAGAGGGCAATAACTCCAAATTTGCAATTAAGAGAAGAGAATACCTTTCCATGTCCCAAAAGGACCATAAATATTATGGAACCTACCAACACGGCACTCAATTCCAAAATCCTTGTTATAATGTTTACATAGCTCCTCTGTTGCAAGCTTCTCCAGCCCATATGCATCTTGTGGCTAACACATATCATTAAATTAGCCACGTGAGTTCTAACCTTAATGGGCAAATCAAGAAGAAGCAGAAATGATCTGATTAGAAAAATCACCAACAGACCTCAGCAGGCCAGGCATCAGACTCCTTCAAGCTCACATTAGTTTCCAGTTGTTTAAATTCAGGGTAGATACAAGCACTAGAGGCATAGAAAAACCTGAAAATACATTCATGGCATGTGACGTGTATTAGTAAAAAGGCATAAACTCAAAGCACAAATTGAGCAAATTCAAGATGGCTAACCTCTTGACCCCGTTAATCCTGGCTGCCTCAAGCATGTTAAAGCTAATCATTGTATTGTTGTACATGATAACAGAATGATTGGACTGGATAAAGCCCATTCCACCCATATCAGCAGCAAGGTTGAAAACATGGTCAACATCCTTCGTAACCTTTAGACAGTTCTCCATGACTCTGAGATCAACAAGATGGAATTCTTGGCAAAACATGTCTTCGGTCATGTGCTCATTTTTCTTCCAATCAGAGGCTATGATGTAATGACCCTCGGTTTTCAGGCGCCGTGCTATGTGAGAGGCAATAAAACCGCCAGCACCAGTGATGGAAATCCGAAGCTTCTCTGAAGGCCAGTAAGGCTCTCTCTCGAGGTTCTCATAGGTGTAGGCACCGTAGTCAGTTTTTCCGGTACTTCCCATTCTGCAGCATTGAATTAGTCATGCAAGGACTGATTGATAGAAACTCACTTCACAAACATTATGTCACACTTCGGACACAACCGAGTTTCAACGAGGAAAACATCAATCAGTTATAGAACAAAGTTGAGTAACACGCAAAATTCGGGAAAAAAAAAAAGAACGCTGCGAAAGCAAAATTAGCAACGAGAAAAACATTATAATGGGATTAGAAAAAGGCGAACACGGGAAAGCAGCTAACTCGCTCGAGTAGGCAATTTTCCCCCTCCACATGTTAGAAATACGAAAAGCACTCATCGACGGATAACAGTACTCAAATCAGTTTCTTCAAAAAAGAAAGAACAATGAAAGCATAGCTGCCAGAATGTTCGATTGAAGCAGAGGATTAGCACACCATACAAAATGGCCTAGTGAGGGAGATGCAGAAGCCTATGAGAGAGGACACCAAAAATGACGCAAGTGACAGAAACGATTGAGACCATACACATGAAATGAAACAGTAAGGCAGTTAACAAGAGTGGTATGCTAATAAATAAAAGCTCAAACCCTAAATTTGAAGAATGGAATAAGCAACGGCTAAAAAAATGCAGATAACAAGAACGCCGCAAAGGAGACAGAGGAATTGCATGAAAGAATGAAAAAGGAATTGAAGGACAAACCTGAGGAAAGGTGAATTGAAGGCAGCAACGAACTAGAGAAGAAGAGAGACGGCAACCTGAAGGTGGTGAGAAGCCATGGGGGGAAGGAGCTATATATAGACTGGATACAGAGCGAGGCAGGAAAACCACTCATTTATTACCTGCTCACGTGAACCGATCGCCGAGAGAGGAACGTACACACACAGACACCCAGACGCCACAATATTTCCTTCTTAGCACCGCGCAATAAAGATATAATTACATTTTAAAAGATGATAATAAAAGGAATATCCGAATTCAAATACTCACATTGATGGCAGAGTTTTTATTTTTATTTGAACATTTATAAAAAAATGCTTTAGTGTCATATTTTAATGAAATTTTTATAAGGAGGGTTATCAATACTTTTATGTTTAAAGTGAATTAAATTAAATTATCAGATATAAGTGGCTTTTCTTTCAAATAAAGAAAATACCAATACGTTGGCTAAAGAAAAGAAGATTCCAATACAGGTAGTCATGCAATTTTTTCGAAGATTAATTTCCCTCAAATGTGAAGTGCTTTTTTTTTTTATAAAAAAAAAGTTTATTAACTATAAGTCCAGCACCGTCCTGTGCCCAGATTAGTCAAGGCATGAAAGTTACCCCCACTAATACGAGTATTAAGAAACGAAAGTAGTATAGCATTCAATAAACTAATTTGAGAAAATGATTAATATTATAAAAAATGAATTAATTTATTATATTTAAAACTAAATTCAACCTAGCTACCTTTCATCTTAAGATTTAAGAATACGAGGGGGCAAGATGTTTGTTTTATCATTACACGTTACGGTAAATGTACTACCTCCATTTGATAATATAAAAATTAGTTAGAGATTTAGGGCTTGTTTAGTTTTTTTATTTTGAAAACAATTTTTTGTTTTTAAAAACAAAAAAACTCGTTTAGTGATTTGTTTTTAATCGATTGTTTTAAAAATAAAAAAACCAAAACAACTTTTATCTGTTTTTTTTTGTGTTTTTTATTTTTTGCTTTGAAAAATTTTAAGAAACTTTCTTTTCTTCTCACTTACTATTCAACACTTATTATTATCAAAAACAACTATCACCTACCAAGTATAGTTCTTTATGGTTTTTTTTTCCAAACATGATTTTTTAAAATTATTACCCAAAATTTTTTTTATTTTTTGTTTTTAAAACTTATTCTAAAAAACAATTTTATAAAATTATTCTGAGAACAAGAAAACAAAGAACAAAAACAAACAGGCCCTGAATTTTTATCCTAAATATAAAATTTCAATATATTTTATCTTAAATATTTATCCATTTATCCATAAATATAACTCTAATATACATGATTAATAAGAATATTTTAGGGGAAAAAAAAAGTAACAATAATTTATTATATCAATTATAGTTTTGTAAATTAATTATCTAACTCTTAAATTAAAAAATCTAGTATATTTAAAAGGAAAAATTATATTGGAGCTACCTATATGTTCTCTCAATTTTTAATTGGGTACTTATATTTTTTTCTTAATTAAATCATTTAATTTTACTTTTTTAGTAATATTAACTCTTCTAACGTCCCTTTATGAGTATTATTAGTTTCTCACTAATAAAAAATATATATAGGTATCAAATTCAAAATTGAGAAAAAGTATAGGTTTTTTTAATAGGGTTTTTCTATTTAAAACGATAATCGGTGTTGAAGAAAAGAAAAGAGAAATGAAGAAGAGCAATGGGGCGCTATTCTGGTATTGTAGTGCGCATGGAAAATTTTAAAGAAAACACAGAAGCTTTTGAAAAATGTGGAATTTGGCATGCTGGTTTTAAAAGTATCCTTGGCAGAGACAGGGAGAAAGGGAAGGAGGGAGGAAAGTACCCGGAAGCTGCGTTGCTTGGCCCAATCGCAGGCAGCCCCTCCGCCTTTGGCTGCCTTCCACCTTCTTTTGCAAATTTACTTGTCGTGATGACCCCTTCCTCCATAATTTCCATTGCCCTGCGACGATTATGTTCTTCAACCCTGCTGAGGGTTTTGTCGGCTCTCCCCAGAGATGGCCAATGGCCGATACAGGACACAAATTGAGAAGGAGGGCGAGGCTGTTGATAAATGGAATTGTAGAGGGTATTGTGGTCATCCAAGTTTTGCTCTCCTGGGAGTGGGTTTTGCCGGCGCAGGATCCTTTCACCATACTATTGTTGCCAAGCCTCGCATAAATACAACTGCGCATTACGTCATGTAATAACTTTTTTTTTTTTGGGGCCCATACAGGATTACAATTCCTGCCGGTTTAAAAAATTTGTAAGCATTTAAATTCATTTTAGCTGAAGGCATGCGTTCAAACCACGAAGCTTCTTCCAAGCTGATGAACAAACTAATGATTATATGAGAATGAAGTAAAATCATATTGTTCCTTGGATTTTTTTTTTTTTTTGGGTTTTAAGGGAAGCGTGAGCCTTTAATCGCTGTGTATTGTTGGGTGTTCTGAGATACATTTTATGAGAGAGCAAGTGAGTCAGGTGAAATGGCGTAATCGCATTTGGGTCAAAGCCTGTGAGTGAATGGAGAGATGGCCGATGGGCAGTGAAATGGGCCGAAATTATATCCAATAAGAATGAAGAAGACACGTGTGAGGATGAGGGAGAGTTACGAAGCAGCAGAAGGGCCCAAAACGGGGGCGGAGGGATCACCAAACGGATAGGCAGGGATGCAAGTGGGAGACTGCGACGTGACATTGATAAGTCATTTACTGCGCCTGCTTCTACCTTTTGGGGACACGGATGAGTCATTTTGATATTCTTCGCCACTAATCCTCCATCTCCACTTGCCCCTCCGCCCAATGAATCCTCATACGCTTCGCCTTTTTTGCGCCTTTTCAACTCACAAGCGAGATCCAACCTCGGAGTTTCAACCGGGTTATGAAAAGATTTAAGCATCGAATCCCCATATTCTTAAACACCGTCACGATTTCAAGCCTAAATTTTGGTTGTTTTAAACTTCAATCCAGAATAATTCAATCAATATAGCTTCTTAGTTCAGAACAATTATGTGGTTTTCTTTATTCAAAAGAATACAATTCCTATAATTCTTTTTAATTCAACAAATTACCATGGCTGAGTAGCTGTAACTCGGAAAGCCCTGATGATTCTAATTCTAGTCGCGGGATCCGATATGTCGGCCTGCTCTCCGACAGCAAATCCGATTCCAATCTTTTGGGCCAAACGGTAAGTCCGACCTGCAACTAACAGGGCTTTAACCGGAATGACCACGTGGGCCCATAGTCCACCAGCCATGTTTATCCATTATCCTTACTTGTTCCGATTGAATTTATACGCCAAGTATTTCGTTTTGGAGCCACGTCATTTTACCACCGCCTTGTTTTGAAAATTCCGCCGCATATATAGTGTGTATAAATATATAAATATAATAACTCGGATCTCATTCGATTTTAAGAATCTCGAAAATTTAGGGGGCAAAATAACATTTTCGCGCGTGAACCCCATCAAATCCTGTTCTGTTATGCCCTGTCCGAATCTGAAATATAGGGATCCTGCACCAACGACCTTTTTTCACTCCATGATGACCTCAGCGGTTCCCTTGCTTTTTCTCCATTTTCCCCATTTTTCTACTCCACAAATTATTACATCTTGTATCCGTCACTGGCATTATTTATTTTCACTACATCCGAAGGGGATCATGAAAACGAACTGGGATATTGTACTATAAATAATAATGACACTCCTTGCAGATTTTATATCGACTATTCATGTATCATTATCAATTTTCCAAGACAAAGAGATGAAATTGGATTTGTCGTGTGGAGATGAAGAGAAGGTGTGAAGGCGGACATGTCTGGGAAAAAATTCATGTCATGGCACCGTTAATGTTGAAACGTGAGTACAAACTATTCCAAAGATGCAAATGGCCAATTTGGGGAAAGAAAAAAGTGGATAATGGTCCATTTTGAAATTGAAAGGCGATATCGATTAAATTCACAAAGTGCAGACTGGATAAGAATGAAGAAAATAAAGGGAAACAAAATCGGACCCATCCTCCATTTTCAAATAATAAATTTCTTTGATGACGGCATACAATATAAAATCCGATCCCATCTGAATTCCTTTATTTTCGCAGGATAAATTAAAAAGTAAAAGTTCCACTTCATGCATGTTTTTTAATTTCTTCGTATCCGGGTCAATTCCTGTCTAATGCGATAACGTTAACACGAGAAAATGAGAGGATGTGTTCTCGATCGGATCGTACAGATACGATCCCACACGCTTTTATCGTCTTGACGATCTAGAAAATCTTTTATATTTCCCGGGCTTCTCACTTACCGTATCCGTAATGAATATTATTACTTGTTGATCCGCATTAATTACATGCACTGGGTCCTCTCATTTGCTCTCATTGGGACAGGATCAGACAGCCATCCAATCTCAGAAGCGAAGCGGGAAACAATATGGATAGAGTGCTTTCAGTGGAGGAAATTTCTGAACAGTTTTGGTCGCCGCCGGTATCCACCGTAAAGGATGAATCCTCCTCCGGGATGAATCGCAGTGCTTCCGAGTGGGCCTTCCAGCGATTTCTCCAAGAAGCTTCTGCTTCCCATGCTCCTCGCCCTTCTCCTTCCTCCCGTCCTGACAAAAACGACGAGCCTAATCTTGAGATTAAGGAGCAGCCCAAACCCAGACAGGACCTCACGGCGCCATCCATTCCCAAGAATGCTGCTGGCTTTCCCAATGCACCTTCTCCAAGCGTCCCTGTCGATTCTGAGCAGTACCAGGCTATCCTTAAGAGCAAACTCAATCTCGCTTGCGCTGCGGTCGCCTTGACTCGGGTACTTCTTTTCGTGACACCTCTTATTTTAGAATTTACATTGCTGGGAGACTTGGCAAACGTAATAAAAATATATGCGGCGACCGATAACACATGTGTTGTTAGTTTCTGTACTGTTTATTGATTTCTGAAAACCATTAGTGATATTATTTCTTTCCCGACTTTATAAAATGGCTACTTCTGGCCGAAAAAAAAAATTATAAAATGGCCGGATAGGCCGGATTTTTAACGTAGTCGGTGACGTGATCCGGTTTGTTGGCTTTAAGGGTGCGAAGTATTAGAAATTTGAGATTCAGAATGGCGTGTTTTCTGTCTCTCCTTCAAGCCCCTGCCCTTGTTGCTTTCTGTAGCTCGTTGAGATTCATATCAAAACGAATAGTCCAGAACTGGACTCATTTATTGTTACGTTTTGGGCCAAATCATTAGAAGGTTACGGTTTTTATGGAAGTGAGACTAAATTAAAAGGCAAATGGAGACTCCAGTACCTTTGGCGGGCAACACAAATTGTGCCGATAGAAGCAAAGTCCGCTCTATTTGGAGGGTTGCTTTTAAAGTCAGCTGTCCGTCGGACTTACGAAGGCACAAGTTTGAAGATTGTTACTGACATATCGACTCGTATTTCCCTTCCTATGCACAGTGATTCAGATTATAGTTTTTAAATGCGGTCATTTCTCAAGCTCCTACCAAGGCTGAGTATTAGAAGAATTGGGCTTTTAATGGTATCATATTTTCAACTTTGGGACCAAAAGGAGCTGTAGCTTTTGCGGTTATAATTTATGTTCAACATCTCTCTTTTTCCTTGGTATTCTGCGTAATTTCTGTTCTTCTTATATGCTGTATAACATTAAGCGCTTTGTATTTTACTGCATGGTTGTAGTAGCACTTATTCTTTTGTGCTCTTCCCTCTATGTCACGCCAACTCTCAATATGCTTGCAATTTTTTGCGGCTCACTGGACTGATTCTACTATCTGAAATTGATCGTAGCTTCATGTATGTTCGGCTTCAATGATTTTCTTAATAATTTTTCAGATGTGTAATTTAAAAATTCTCATATGGTCTAACAGTGGTTACTGTTTCCCCATTCCATCTTTGTTTCTTTCTTTCGTTATTTTTATATATATAAACCTTTTGGAATTTAGCTGTGTCTCATGCTGTTTTCTGCTCATGGCAGCAGGGTTCCTTAGCCAAGTCCCAAGATCCAGCCACTTTACCTAATGGCGTATCAAAGGCCAATAAAACTTCTCAAGCTGGATCTCCTGCTACCTTAGAAGGTTTGAATCTTTAATGCTTGCAGACATATTTATGAAAGTTAGTGCAGATGTAGGTATTGGTGTGTGAATAATATACAGTGAACAAGATGGATGGCATTTATTTATATCCCATGTGTTAAGAAGCTTGATGCATATTATGCTTAGTGAATAATTATGTCAATTATAGCTGCCATTGTATGACCTTGTAGGACATGATCCATCTAACATACCCGATAAAGATGCGAAGGGACCAGTTGCAATTCCTTCATTACCTGCCGTTCAAAAGAAACTGGCGATTGCAACCAAGCCAACAACCAGTGGATCATCGAGGGATCTGTCTGATGATGAGGAGGTTGAAGTGGAGACTGAAAATATGGAACCTGCAGATGCAAAACGAGTAAGGAGGTACACTAATTTTGGCTGCATACAATGAGTTTGTTTCTGGTCATGTTCAATCTTTTAGTGTATGTCTGTATATGCTCTCAGGAACCAGTTCCAATGTGAATGTGGCTTGTGTGTGAATTAGAATTTTTTGAAACTTCACAGATTCATAGACTTTCCTTCTGAATAAATTATGCGATTGGCCTGCCAGACAGAAATTGTATCTAGTGCATCCAACAATGTGGGACCGAATAACTTCTCATGTTGCTGTTAAAGCTGCATGAATGTAGAAAGAAGAATATGTAAAATATTTTATTAAACGGTTCTTCATTTAGTGAGGGAAGAATTACGCTATGCGATTATTTGATGCCTAATGGTATCAGTATCACAGGATGCTTTCCAATAGGGAGTCGGCCAGACGCTCGAGAAGAAGAAAGCAGGCTCATATAACTGAGCTTGAAACACAGGTCGTATGATCTCTTTTAAGCTCCCATCCCTCTCAATTACTCTCTCCCCATGTGGGCTTCTTTCCAATTGAGTCGTCTCTATTTTCTGACCTAATTTTGCACTTTAGGTTGCTCAATTAAAAGTAGAAAATTCATCATTGTTAAAGCGTCTTGCTGACATAAGCCAGAAGTACAATGAAACTGCTGTTGACAACAGAGTCTTGAAAGCTGACGTCGAAACATTAAGAGCAAAGGTAAGCGGCTTGGAAGCGTTCTTTCAGTTGTATTTGTTTTGGCATTAAGAAAATCCTTATGTAGCAAACATACTAGCTCTTGCTAAAAGTTGCTGTTTCTGCTGGATGTCATATTCAGGTAAAGATGGCCGAAGAGACCGTGAAAAGAATAACTGGGTTAAACCCAATGTTCAGTGCCATGTCTGAGATATCATCGATGGGTATGGCATCATTTGATGGAAGTCCTTCCGACGCATCAGATGCAGCTGTACCTGTGCAAGATGACGCTAACCATCACTTCTATCAACTCACTTCTAATAATTCTTTGTCCGGGCCTGATTCAAGAGTCAACAATGGAGTTGGAGATATTTCTTCCATGGAAAATGTGCAGCAGAACCCCGCGGCAATGGCAACTGGAAACAAGATGGGGAGAACAGGTTCCCTGCAGCGGGTGGCTAGCTTGGAACATCTTCAGAAGCGCATCCGTGGAGGTGGTGCAGATTCTTGTAGTCGGCCCTGCAATGGAGAGCAGTAATAAAAAAGAGCAGCCATAAAAAGGAGCATGGCTAGAGAAGTTCTGAAGCATTTATTTCGGTTGTAAAGGATGGCCTATTCATCTTGATTATGTTGTAAATCAATTTGATATGCTCAGCAAACTTGTAAATTATGCCCCATTCGTCTTACTTTGCAACCCATCAATTGCCAAATGTAATTACTTATCTTCGGATCGGTCTTTTTTATTTTTTATTTTTTCCCCCACTCGCATTCGGATTACTCACTAGTCACTAGTCATTCACTCATTTGCGTATATTTTTTATTAAAAATTAGTTGTAGGATCATTTTCTAATTACTTTCTAATTACTGTATTAATATTTACAAGGGAAAAAAGTTTTTACGAAAGGGAGAATTTTGATATCAGTATTATAATTGTTTTTAATCTTTTTTTTTTTTGCGATCTATAATCGTTTTTAATCAAAATGAAAGCGCGCGTTATATGTAGATGAAAAATAAGCAATAAAGATGAAAAATATTGCTTAGCTGAGCCCTATTCTCAATTGAAAAAGAAGGGGAAAAACAAAACAAAATTAAAAAATATCAGTCATACTGTCATAGGATAGGGCCTTGGTCCACGTTATCTCATCATCTCCAGCCGTCGCACATACCCAAGAGGTCCCAATTTGCGCCGGAACCTACACCAGAGCACGCCCAACGCCGGATTTCTCAAAGATCTCAAATAAACAGACGATGGAGATTTCATCTTCTCTTACCCTCTCCCTTTCTTCTTCAATTCCAAGAACCCCCGTACATCTTCCTCCCTCCTCCTTCCTGGTCACTAACTCTACCTCCACATTCTTAAAGAAAGCTTGGATTGGTATTGGTTACCCTTCGGTACGGGAACGAATCAGAAGCAGAACCACTCAATCCAAAAGGGGTCTCACTTGCAACGCCTTGTTCGGATTGGGTGTACCGGAGCTCGTTGTCATTGCGGGAGTGGCTGCTCTGGTTTTCGGACCCAGGAAGTTGCCAGAAGTGGGTCGGAGTATTGGCAAAACCGTTAAGAGCTTCCAACAGGTTCCTACACTCATCTGACACAGCTATAGTTATAAATTATCTACTTTGAGTTAATCTACTGCCCTTTCGCTGGAATTCTCTTTTAATTATGATATTATTAAGGATTTTTTAACTCGTGTGTATGGGCACTTTAATTAGAGTTCAAAGAGTTGGAAAATGAATTCAATTTTTTCCTCCTCTATGTAAGCTTACGCATAGCATCAATCCGAGCTTGAATCTATGGAACCTTTCGGTTTCTTTCGGAAAAGATTTGATAATGCATATCGATTTCGATTCTGTCGTTTTCAGAGTTGGCCCTCGTTGGAAGCCTATAGGCTTTGTGCATAGCCTCGCCAAACACCCCCCCCCAAAAAAAAAAAAGCTTTTTTTTGTTGGGGTTGTGCTAGCTGAACCGCACTTTGTGAGTGTGGAAGATCTTGCCTTAGTTTCACTAGATTCGTGCATGCAACATGCCTTTTGGAGTATTCATGACTGATGTGAAGCAGTGATATTTGAAATATCCCTGATAGTCAGGTGGACTTTAGTATTTTATCCCTCTGTTTCATGATGGAGAGGGAGTGTGTGCATATTTGTAATTACATATACGCTCACATTACTTGCATGAGTGCAGATTAAGGTTTATGCTTACACTAAAATGTAAGAAAAGACCTTGAGATGTGCTGTTCTATTCATGACTTAATGGTGCGGCTTCCTATAAATGTTACTTTTCCGGTTCTTAATATAAGATCTATTTAACTAATTTGATTAGATTAAGGAAGTTAGTAAGTTAGTTAATTATAAGAAATATGACATGTTTTTCCTAAAATACCATAATCATCTTCCTTGATATCTTTTTTCCTTCTTTTACTTGGTTATGGTTGAAGGAGTTTCATAGGGATAATTTAGAAAAAATTGATAAATATGAAAAATAGATTTTATATTTAGGACTAAAATCAACTTAACAATTAGATTCTATATTAAAGACGGAGGAGTATATTGTATGTTGGATTGATATATTGCTAGTTTTAGCTGCATCTGCGCCTTAGGTGTTTAGTGGCTAGTTAAAAGAGTAGACTGTCTTTTTAGGCATGCTCTTTTCTTCGTCAGTCTCTCTTAGACAAGAAGCTCCATTTGTCTTGTGAAAAAGATGACAGATTGAATGCTTTAATTATCAGGTGCTGTTTCGTATACTTTTGCAGTACTTACTCTCGTCACAACTCGTTGTGTTCATAGAGTATTCGTTTTGCCTGTTCATATTTGCTTTTTTATGAAAGAAGAATCAAACCACAGAAAATAATTTGTTAATGACTAGGAAATCTTAAACAACATGACTTAGAAGGGAGAGGCAAGAGTTTTTTTCTTTTTTTTAATTGTTTTGAGGCTTGATATAATTATTTGCTTGGAACAAGTTTGGATTGTGGAACTTTTGCTGCCACTAAAGTTCATGGCTGGCACTCCAAATTTCACTTGAAAGCTTGAGCTTTTTTGGTGGAGTTGCGACCTTGGTTATATACACTGAGCATTCATTAATCTCTGTGGTATGTCTGCATGTGCCATGTGGCCATAATTCTCCAAAAAATTGCATTGGGAGGATTTCCTAAGAATTAGAAGATTGAGATCTATTAACTGCTGAATTTTTTTTTTACACATTGCTGTTAAAGTTTCTATTGAAATGTAAATCTCGCAGGCAGCTAAAGAGTTCGAATCTGAGATTAAAAGGGAACCTGATACCATAGAAGAGACTTCTGCTGAGAAACCTGCTGCTGTCAGCGAACAGGAGAAGCAAGATATCAAAGTCTCTAATTCAAAGGAGAGCGTATGAAATTTGTAAAAGATACGCCAAGTAGGTAGCTTAGCAAAATTTCACAATCGCACAATCCATTAAAAGAAATTATTCTACCCTGTCACCGAAATTTTCTTTCGACGCTTAAGTTATGTTCCTTTGCAATGGTCTGCTCTGTTCACCGGCATATATGTGATAACTCCTCGTGAGCTCTGTAGGCCGATTTCGTGGCAGCTTTTGACGACTGTCCAGATGAGAAAGTAGGGGAGGATTAGTGGGGTGGGAGAAAAGTTGATGCTTTTTACACCTTTCCTCAGTATTTAATTAATAGTTGAAAGTTGCTTACCAGTTACCCGTTCAAAAATTTCTGGCAAATACTTGTGGAAATCAGACTTAACAGAGCACTAGAGTTGGATATTGGAAGGCAACGAACATAGTATAACAGATCGCGTTTGACAACAGCCACAGCTTTCTTTTGCTAGCACACAAAATTGGAATGTGCTGGTTGATTGTGTGGAAGGAATGCCAAGGGTTTCTTCTTTGCTTCTTCTTTTATCTCTTTTTTTGTTTTTTAAGTTAGGGTGAGGTGTCTTCCTATTGGGCCGGAGGTAATCTTTGTTAATGCAGGGGAAAAAAAAACGTATGAGAATTATTTTTAATTGAATTTAACAATTTTCAAATTTGATGTGTCATTTCTCGAATCTGAAAGTCCAAATAGATCTCATCTTGTAAACTAGAAAGTAACCAGTTAAATGTGGCAGTAAATGAACTCGATGCCGTAAATCATTGCGTGGAGAACAGAGTCATGCACGATGTAGTAAATAAACACTTCTTCGATGCTAAATATCAGGGCTTTATATATACTAGTATAAGGGTTTTATATTTAAAAACAGAGGAGTATCATTTTTTATCTTTAATATAAAAATTAGTTTCATATTTAATTTAGTTTTAAATATAAGACTTTAATTTATTTTGTCTTTCATATTTATTTATTTATTTAAGGAAGGCTTCGTAGTAATTACATACATTAAATATTTCAACAGATGATAGTTCTAATTAATATACATGATTAGTAAGAGTATTTTAAAGAAGATAATATTTATTTATTATAAATAATTAAATTAGTTTTCTTAATCTATTAAATTAGTAAATTGATTTCTGTTTTAAAAACCCGAGGTAATAGTATATAAAACAACGGTTGACGCTTGCTCAGTCTGATTAGAATTTGAGAAGGGCATCGTTCAAAAGGTTGGAAGCTTGGAATTTTTTAAAACTGGAATGAAATCCAGGTGGATCGTTTTGGTTTCTTGGATGGATGATTGGAGGCGAATGCCTCATGCCCAACTTGTTTGGCAGTAGGCATTCTCCACTAACGCAGCCCGCGAAAGTGGTGATGAGAGGGACGAAGTACTTGTCCACAAATCTAAACTAAAACGAAACTCGTCTAATTAGGTTATTGGATCTTCCATATTATATCCATCTACCTACCCGGTAATATTATAAGCATGTTGGATATCTTATGTGGTTCACGCTTGACTTGAGTCGGTCGAAACCGGCCGGCAAAAGGGACATCGCGAAGCACATTAGGCTGTAAACGTTCATATGCGTCGTCCAATAAGTTGCCCGCTTTCTGCTTAGGCCAGCCCATGGATTGTTTTCCCATCTTGTGAACTTGTTTATTTGAATTGGCGCTTTGCTCCGTTACTCCTCCGTTATGGAGTATAATACTGAATGTTTTCGACCCATTGCTTGTATGCAGATCTTGATTTTTCTGCGAGCCTGTTTTTCCTTTTAGAAATTTTTTCTTGCTCTTTTGTCCGGTGAAAGGTTTCAAATCTCCCATGTATATAAAATTAAAAAAAGAAAAACTACAAAAATACGAAAGTATCGCCCGCCTTAATTTTCGCCTAAAAAAAAATCAAAATCAAATTACAACTGTAAGAAGTAATGGCCACGAAAATAATTTATGAGAGAGGTGGATATATTGAGAATCTGTGAACCCGATGAAAATGCTGTTTTATTTAGTCTTAAAACAAATGACATTTTTTTCATATTATTATACGTGAATTTCTGGAAAGACGTAAGCTTCATTTATCAACCAGTGTTATTCTTGAGGATGGAGTTTTAACCGCGTGAATGTGAAGCCTCGAACTCGAATCAATACGAGCACAGAAAATATTTTTTGGAAAAACTATCTTCAATTGAGTATAAGTTAACAATATTCAAATAGTATAATCCAATTAGATATCCATATAAAAAAGTAGTCTTTGTTTAAAAAGAAATAATAAATGTCTTTTTAATAATACTTAAAAAATAAAATATTTTTATTTCCAAATTTCTGAAAAATTTAGTACCAAGAAACCATGAAGGGGCTGTTCGGATAGAAAATATGTGGAGTGTTTTTACGGATTACGAAGTAAATATGTGGAGGAGGTTATCTCGTTTTGCGGAAAAGTGTTTTTGAAACCGCGGTTTTGAGAATACCAAACACCCCTAAAAGTGCTTACAAAAATTAATGATTTTGAACGATGTTATGACTGAAGTCTTGGTCTTTTGGAAAACATATCTATCTTCCCAAAAAAAAAATTCTACTATTTTTAAAAAAATGTGAACAATTTGGGCGGAAAGAAAGGGTTGTGGGTGGAAGAAAAACGTGGGCAGATACGAAGTATGCTTTCGAGTAAAAATCTTCACACACCAACCAATGGAAGCTTTTTTTCCTTTTATGTTTGTTTTTGGTTTGACGAGAGAGATAGAACCACGGAAAGGACTGTTACCGGCAACCCAAAGTTCCAATTTTCGAATACCAATAGTGAAATAGCTGTGCTTAACTTAAAAAGGACAAGGGATAAAACCCGGTGGGGCGCGTGCACACAAGAAAGACTCGAATCGAAGGAGGGATGAAAGGACGCCGACTTTGTGTGTGTACAGAGGTTTTAGTCAGCCTCTCTCTCTCTCCCTCTCTCTCTCTGGTCTTCCTATAAAGCCACCGCGCACTCACTCCCGTCTCAGCACCTGTCTTCTAACCATAAAGCTGGAATAAGCCACTCCTCATACTACATTCTCTCCTCGGGAATCTCATTTCCATCCCGCCTTAACGCCTTCGTCCGAATCCTCCTTCACCCCCCCCCCCAAAAAACAAAATTCCTTTTCCGCTTTTCGTGCCCTCCGTTCCATTTTCCAGTAAACAATACTTGAATATAATGTCGCCTTAATCCCCTTCCCCACTAGCTTCAAGTGCTTTGGTTTTACAACAAGAACGCTGGTAGGAGGAGAAGAAATGGCCTGCAATTCTTCGGAGGGATTGGGTGACGATTTTTTGGAGCAGATCTTGGCTGTACCCCCTTCTGCTTACTCCAACAGTGACGGCTCCGCCATGCCTCCAATGGTGTTGCAGTTAGGCTCCGGCAGCAGTGCTGCTGCTGGCGCCGGCTTGCGCGAGTCCTTAGGCATAGGGAGGGGCATGCCCTTGGGCTTGAATTTGGAGCAAGGGTTTCTCGGACAAGATGGTAGCAGAGTACGGTACGGCGGTGATGTTGTGGACGGCCACAATGTAGCTAATCGCCATATCCATCTTAATAATTCCAACAATACCATCAACCCTTCTTCCTCTTCAACTTCTGCTATCTCTGTGAGTAATTTTTTGCCTTCGACTTTCTTCAGTTTCCGTTCACTTTCCTTTATCTTCTTCTTTATGCGCTGTGCTTGTATTGCAGGATAGGGAATCCTTGCAGAGGGCACAGGGCCTGTTTTCGGCGTTTGGACCGTTGGACCTTCGGCCGACGACGGTGCCATCCCCGCCGCCTGCTCCCTCTCAACTCCCGCATCATCAGGTAGTCTTTTAATAGAATTAAGTGACCATATTACCCTCAGCTCCCCGTTATTCTTATCGGGCGAGGCCGGGGCAAGACCGTAATCTGACGCGAAATATAAACGCCGCTCACTGTCATTGCACAATAATTGAGCTTGGGTTCAAAAGCCATTATGACGTGTGACGCTATGAAATATAGTAAACCTTAAAGTTGGGTCACTTTGCATAGATTCCTCAGTGATGGTTATTATTATGCGCTTCATTTCTGGCCATATCTTTAATCATGATTTTTTTTAAAAGGATACTTAATTATGGGTTTAACCCTTGAGAAAGCTACACCCAAATATTTTAAAGGTGAGATTTCCCTTTCGTATTGGAGTATTGGCGGTTTGACAAATCTGCCCTCTCTTGCGGTGTTTCGGCCATTCAACATCCGTATTCGCGGAATCAGCGGCTTTCTTTCATTTCATGAATTTTTTCTTTGAGCTCAAATTCTTAGTCTTAGGTTTAAAAATTCATATTTATAATGATATTGTCGATATTCTATGCTCTGGGTCGAACCGAGGTAGTTCATTTGGCTGTGTCCCTTACGCGTTTTACTAGGAGCGTAGACTTCTGCAGTGAATGATAGTGCGCTTAACCTTACCGCGTACTCTTGTACAGAATGTGTCGTCCTGCTGTCGCCCTTTCCATGCGTCCTTTGTCTACTTTTCTTTTACTTTTAATTTTTAATTTTTGAGGATGCTGTGCCTGTGTTCGTTTTTCCATTTTCCTTTTCCTTTGAACAGCAACCCTCTATTGGTGGATTTGGTTAGAGAGAAATTATGCTATTTTTCAAAAATCCTACGTATCCACCGTGGTTATATGGGTAAAAAGAACTTTAATTCTCCCATAATCGAGATGTGACAAAAGTTTTACGTTGGCAATACTCGTATCTGGTCTCAGATATCTAATAAAATTTATGGAGTAAAGTTTCTTTTATGGGCAATCAATCCAATCTTATTCAGACAAATAAAAAGATTGTTTCTTGTACGTAGTTTGCACTATCTAGTTTCTCGGTGAGGAAGTCTGACTTTTTTTAGACGCACAAACACGGAACAAGGAAAGGAACTCCCTATTCCTATGCAACCGCAAAGTGAGATGCCAGGAGTTGCAGTTCTAGTGTAAAAATGTTAGGATGTTCACCAAAAAAAAAATGTTAGGATGATCAATGATGGTGTTGAAGGGCATACCTCCAAAATCTGATTAAGCTTCCAACTTATGATTAAGCTTGTTTTAATCATTTTATTATCTTTCAACTTATGATGTTAGTTCATTATCTCAATGCAGCCATTTCATAGCCAACCCCAAATTCAGGGGCCTGTTGCTGCTGGGCCTCAACCACCTGCCATTCGCCCTAGAGTGCGAGCAAGAAGAGGGCAAGCCACTGATCCCCATAGTATTGCTGAACGGGTAAGGCACATATATTGTCAGCCCTCAAAGTTTTAGAGCTTGATGCTTTCTCTGTTGAATATGGGACTCTGTGTGTGTGACTGAAATGAGTAAGAAAATGAATAGCCAAGAGAAATTGAATTTATTGAGTGCTTAATATGTGAAAGTATGGCTACTATTAAATCTTTACATTCTTCTGAATCGAGAATCATTTTTAAAGTTTTGGCTTCTATGGTTGCCTCTTTCCTGCTCTAAGAAATGAGATGGCAAGACTGCGAGTGTGATAAAAAATACTACTTCCGGTCTTAATTATAAGAGCCAGTTGACTAATTTGAGGAGATTAAGGAAGTAAGTTGAGTTAGTTATTTGTCTTAAATAGGTGTTGTCTTTCCTAAAATATTCTTACTAATCAAGTGTATTAACTAGAACTCTTATTATTAGAAGGGTTATTTTGAAAAAAAAAATGTATAAATATGATAGACAAAGTGGATTGGGATCTTATATTTAGGATCAAAATAAAAGTCAAACAGAATCTTATGTTAAAAACCGGAAGCAGTAATACTAATTTAAAGGTACGTTAGGTGGTCTGGAAAGTCGGTGATGGTAAAATTGTGTGTGCTCGGCTTGTTTATAATACCTCTTCAGAGGATCACTTTAGAGGCACTATTTGTGAGCCGGAGAAGTCCTTTAATTTCAGCAGGTTTCTAACCCTACTGACATTCGATGGGATGGCGTTGAATCACAATTCATTGATATTCTTCTAGTAACCTAGTTCAACATCCTTTCTTTTCACCTACGACTACCTCTAGATTCTTTTTTTCCCCCTTCGATGTTCTATACATCTCTGTGCTGCAAAAAAAGGATTCATGTTCTGCTTTTTTACTGGGTATAGTTGCGCCGTGAAAGGATTGCTGATAGAATGAAGGCTTTGCAGGAATTAGTTCCCACCGCCAATAAGGTTAGTGATATTGCTAGAAATGAATATAATATTATTAATAATATTTTTGGCAGGACTCCTTTGTCCATGTTTTTATTAACTATTCAATTCAATTCGCGACATTTCATCTGAACCTTTCACAGCACTCAAAGCATTGCCGGTCCATTTTTTGACTTCATGTCAGGGACTATATACGACACATCTCTATATGAAGTATTAAGCATTATCAAATTATTTAGTGGTGGATATTTATTTGTTTACTCTTATTATCTATGAATTTACTTGGAGTTCGAGCACACGTGATCCTTTTCAACTTTGAAATTTAGAATACTGCTGGGTTTTAATGTGTGATCCATTTATGCTCATACATTATATATGAAAACCGTTGCTGTAGACTGACAGAGCGGCTATGCTTGATGAAATTGTGGACTACGTGAAGTTTCTCAGACTCCAAGTTAAGGTAACTATTGAAGTTCTTAATATATTTGTGATCGAGGAAGTCTTTCTTTATCCCGACTTATCCCGGATGTTCGCGGATGTCTTCATTGGTCGCTATATTACAAATGCTAAAATAATGATCATATCCATCATTGTTTTAACAAACTAGCATCGATTATTTTAGACTAGTACCAGTCTTCTTTTTTCCTATACATGGTAGGGCCTAGGGCCTGGAAATCTATGGCCTTTGATTTCACTTTTTCTATACATAGTGCATTACAAATCCGCAGCAAGTCGTAACCGCGAAACAGTTGCGCTGCGTAGCATTAGACGAAGTCCTTTTTTGCTTTTTAAATTTGTGCCGCTTGTTGGAATGCGACTTGATCTTGATCATTCATATATGTATATATCCTCACAGGTCCTCAGTATGAGTAGACTGGGGGGAGCTGGTGCCGTAGCTCAGCTTGTTGCGGATGTTCCTTTGTCTGCAATGGAGGCGGTAAATTTGTCGAGCTTCCACTCAACGTTTCTTTTTTTGACCTCGTCATCCTGTCTGTTCTTAGTTTTGTCAAGAACCACGCATGCAGCTATTTTTGTACCCGGGCGTGCGTGGGGGCCACCTGTATGAGCACATAGAAAGAGATATATGCAACTGTGCATATAGTTCATACTACCTCGGGCTTTTAATATAATAATCAATTGAATAATTTGAATATATTAAGATTGTTTATTAAGTTTGTTATTTGTAATAAATAGGTTGTCTTCCTTAATATACCCTTGCTAATCATATGTATTAGTTAGAACTATAATTTGATAAAACATTTAATATGTGCAATTACTATAAAGATTACATTGAAAAAATAGATAAATATGAGAGACAAAGTATATTAAAATTTTATATTTAGGATTAAAATCAAACTAACTTTTATATTAAAGATAGGAGGAAATATATGTGTGGAAACAAACTTGGTAGCCCACTGTCCTATTTTGATTCCTGCATCAACATGGGGCATTATTGATTGTTTGGTGCAGAGGGAGGGCGTTGACGGCGGGGGGAATCAAGCAGCCTGGGAGAAGTGGTCAAACGACGGCACAGAACAAGAGGTTGCAAAACTGATGGAAGAAGATGTTGGAGCTGCCATGCAATTCCTTCAGACCAAGGCACTCTGCATCATGCCGATATCTCTGGCTTCAGCCATTTTTCGTACGTCCCAATCAGATGCTTCTGCGCTCACCAAGTCCGAACCAAACAGCCATTCTTAGATTCCCACACGGGACAAGCTTGTATCTCGTAATTGTCTACCACGTTTCTGATCATGGGTCCCATATTAAAAAGGGCTGTTCCGCTGTCAAACTCCTTGTTGGATGGAACTTGGAAGAGGATGGGGCGAGCGGCGGTGTTCATTGTTTTCAAGTTTTGTCATCAGTCATCACAAGGAGGAATAGCCATTCCAAATAAGTAAAACCGGAGGCCAATAATGTTGTAGTCATGTTCAGGATCACAGAATCTCTAGGCCCAATTATTGATATTGCGTTGTTATCTGAAATATCAGTGGTGGGGTAGGTACTTGGCAGTACATGACCAAATTTTGTGGTGCGGCATCCTTTTTCTTTGTTTTTCACTTTTTGGGCTTAGTGGAAAGGGGGACCCCTAAAAAGGACGGGATGGGAACGCCTTTGATGCGTCTGGAGAAAAGTTGAATGCAAGTGGGAGCGGGGCTGGTAAAGCCGTTTGGAATTATCTGATTCATTGGAAAGGAAAATTTTAATCAAACGGCTTTTTTGCGTAAATATTTTATATTTTATCACAAAAGATTGTAGATATAATAATTATTTAAAGGACAAAAAATGTTTGATTAATATGCCCTCAAAAAGGTATGTTTTTCCTTTTCTTTTCCCTCCAAGCACCACAGGACTACAGAAGATGAGAAGTGGGAGGAAAAAAATTAAACTAACCTAAACACATCTAATAAGCTTCGATAAAATTGCTACACTTTGGCAAGGTGATTATAATAACGATTATGAGAAACTACAGCGGCGCTATAAAGCTGAAGCACAAATGCTGGCCGATGATGGGAAGTTTGGAACTAAAATTAAGAAATTAAAGCATCAGTTCTGGTGAATTATGAATGTTAATAGATTTAATTGCAATTATTTAAATTTAAATTATATTTAAATAAAATTATTGTCATTTTTTATATTCTAATTATTTAATTATATATTTTTAATATCAATTTATTAATGAAGTAGACTTTTACAAGTTTGCAATTTGAGTTTTCACTCAAATTTACATTCTTATCATTTAAACTCTCGAGTTTAACAATTTTTGTTATATTTTTGTTACGTCTCAAGCTAAATTTATCGAGTTTACGCATAGTAGCTTGATATTTTACTCATAGGTGAGAGCGAAAATTATATTCTATAAGCTTTAAGATTAGAGAAATAGCTAATGTATTGTTATAATAATGAAAAAGATAGTATTAATGTGTTTTATATGAAAGTACAGTATAAATTGTTTTTTTCTTACCGTAAAGTACAGTAGTCGCCCTTATTCTTATTATAAGTTTCAAATAATCAATTCAAAGATAATGAATAATTAGTTAAAATTAAATAAATAAGTTAGAAATATCATTTTGTTTCTAAATACCTCCTTGTAATAAACGAGAAAATTGATGAAAGAAAATGTGTAGAAAAATGTGATAAGATAGATTATGATAGAGAGGAGAAAATAAACAATTAAGAACAAAATTTAAAAAATTACATTAAATATTTAGACAAATATCAAATTGAAATTTATAGAATAGATTACACTCATTCCTTGTGCGTTTGTGTTAAATTTGATTTTTGATACCACGGAACTCTAATAACAACGATAAAGAAAAATACATTTATTTTAAATATAAGATTCGACTTGGTTCGAATTCTTACAGAAAACAATGATGCTCGGTACCCTGCATGACTGGCAAATTAGGGTCAGCTGTGAGCTATTGAAGGTTAAACCTTGGGGTTTAGATTTTTTTTTTTCCCCCCCTTTTGCCAGATAATTCAGTTTCCCTTTTTTTTTTTTTTCCCGGCGGGTAAACTAGTGAAGGTGACAGTTATTATGAAATAGAGGAATTTGAATAATCGAAATCAAAGAAACCTGGGATTGTCGATCTTTTGGTTAAGCTGCAGCTAATGTTTAAAGCCAGTCATACTAAAATCAAGTACGAGTGACGTACGATTCCCCCCGGGGTGGTTTTTTTTTTTTTTTTGGGTCTATGTCTTACGCATTAAGAGAAAACTCACATACTGGTACCCACGTTTGTTGAGGGATTACTTGCAACCTCGTTCTTAAAAAATAAATGACAAAAAGACCTCATACTAATAAAAAATTTAAGAAAAGTGTTTGGAGTAGAGCCACCTAGTAAGTAACAAGCGATGATTGTTCAAGGGAACATTTGAATGTTTGTCCACCAAAATTTTGCAGACGTATGCTCTTTTACGCACGCACGCACGCACAATGCCTATATTTTCGTTGGTCCAAATTTGTTTTAGCCCAGAATCCGTTAAATGAAGAGTGGGCTGGGGCTCTGGGCCTGCTTACTCATGGTGCTGTGCCGTCCCAACCCTTAATGTCGTTTACCGATCAGACGATCGTTCAAATTCATGCCGTTCGTCTTTCGATTGCCGTTTGCTTCCGGAAGGGTGGAGTTTAGAACTGGCCACTTAACTGCAAATCTGCAATTGATGATGCAGGACAGGCAGAAACCATCCTCAGAGCCAGGGTTTCCAGAGTCACCCTCTCTTTACGCCCGAGAAAGAATTTCGACGGAATGAAGCAGAACTTCGGATGCAAATTTTCGCCCTCAATTTGTAATTTTTTCTGGTCATCTCTGTCGCAGAAGTGGCTAAACCCGTGAAAACCTAAAACCAGCTCATCTCCTTTGTGAGTATGTCAATTGAAACTACAGCTTGGTTGGTCACGCGTTTATTTTATGTGATGTTCTTAACTCTTTAGCTTAAACAGACCTGGCTTTAGACCATATTAATCTGACCTTCTGAACTATAATCTAATTTCCTTGCTTCTTTTGCATTATAATTGGCTTCCATGACGTTATTTTATATATGGTCTTCTGTAATCTGGCCTTGGTTTTGTCCGTAGCTCCTCTTGATATTCAGTAGTCGGATGGTATCAAATGTTTTTCCCTGCCGCCTAGAACTCGTTTCTCAAGAATGCATCGGTTCGTTTGCAGGGGTCCGATGATTTTTGTAAGCTACGTCAATGATCCCGCTTCGTGGAGATGCATTATTTTTCACCTTACTCCTGACAAAAGCTGAAGGGAGTTTTGCTTGAATGATAATTCCATGCTTAGTGTGCCCCTCCCTTCGTCAGTCCCATGGGGATGGTGACAATGTTCATAACTACTCCTCTTACTACTCGATGCATGCCTAGCCAGCATTTGGATCCGGCTATGCAAGTATTATCACTTTAAATCTGGGCGATTTTTAGACATGCACAGTCTGTTTCGTTCAGCTCGTCCGAAAAGTAGTGCAAAATGTAGAAAACTCCTGGGGTTGAAATTGTCATTTATAGGTATTCTGGGAATTGTGCCATCAAGTTTTGCTACATCACTACTGAATTCAAAATAAACTGGTTTTAGAATTGATGTTTGGTAAAACATACTTTTGTACTTGTTATGTTGAATATAATAAAGGAACCCCAGATTCTTTATCTACCTTTGAGCTTTGGCTACGTGTTCATCTATGTATCGTAATGGTTTGGGCATCCGATTCTTTAGTTTGGGTTCCCATAGTAGCAGGACAGCCTGGGATCCAGCTGTGTCCCTTCAACTCAATCACCCAAGTCTTGTCTTACTTGAGAAATGCAGTTCAAGGAATCACTTGAAGCAAATTTTAGGGCAGATTATGAGAAGCAATCTTATTGGTCAGACATTTCCGATGAGCAGACTGCTAGTGTTCTCTGCCATCTCACACCCTGAGAACTTAGACGTGGCTGAAGTCCTTTTTGAACACTTTACTCCTCATCCCAATCTCTTTATCTACAACACTATGATTTCTGCATTATCATTTTCAATGGGCCACTCATTTGCGTTATACAATGCAATGCTACGTGATCATCTGCTACCAGACAAGCACACACTATGTCGACTACTACATTCTACCAAATCCATGGCAGAAACCAAGCAAATCCATTGTCATGCTATTGTTACAGGTTTGTTTCTTCAAGGTTATCTGCAAAATACCCTCATAAAAGCTTACTTGGATAACAGAAATTTGGATATTGCACTTCAGCTGCTACATCAAATGCCTGCTCCAGATTCTGTTTCATTCAATGTCACTATTGTTGGTTTTGCCAAGCATGGGTTTGGTGCAAAAGCGCTACAGTTATTCCACAGAATGGTGAATTTGGGTGTTGAACCTGATGACTTTACCATATTAGGTCTTCTTGTGTCTTGCAGGCAGCTCAGAAATCTTAAGTTGGGAAAATCTGTTCATGCGTGGATCCAAAGGAGGAAAGATTTTGGTTCTTCATATTTAATCTTGTGGAACGCTCTTCTTGATATGTACTTAAAATTCAAAGAACTGGAGCTTGCTTGTAAGATATTCAATCAGTTGGCGAAGAAGGATATTATTTCTTGGAATACTTTGATTGTAGGTTGTGTCAAGTCCGGGGAAGTAAAACTTGCTCATGACTTTTTTGATCAAATGCCTTGCAGAGATATTGTTTCGTGGAATTCTTTGATCGCTGGATATGCTCAAAATGGTCATTATTCAATGGTAGTTGAGTTGATTAAGAGCATGATTGCCCATAATGTGAGTCCTGATCATGTTACAGTGGTGAGCTTCATCTGTGCTGCAGCAGAGATAGGAGTACTGGATCAAGGTAAATTGGTGCATGGGTGGGCAATAAGGAATACGGCGAAGGTAGATGCATTTATGGGTTCAGCACTAATTGACATGTACTGCAAGTGTGGGAGCGTAAAAATTGCATTGACTATCTTCAGGGAAATACCTGAAAAAGACATTGTTGTATGGACAACAATGATTACCGGATTTGCATTCCATGGTCTCGGAAAGAAAGCTCTGGAACTCTTTGCTGAAATGCGGAAGTCTGTAAAACCAAATGAGGTAACTTTTGTAGCCGTTCTTACAGCTTGTACTCACAGTGGCCTTGTGGATCAAGGTATAAAAGTTTTTCACGATATGGAAGCAATTTATGGCATTGAACCCAGAGTGGAACACTACGGGTGTTTGGTTGACCTTTTAGGGCGATCAGGGAGATTGGCTGAGGCTAAGGTTGTGCTTGACACAATGCCAATGAAACCAAGTCGATCTGTTTGGGGGGCTATGTTGAGTGCTTGTAGAGCTCATGGAAATGTAGAATTAGCAGAGATGGCATTGACAAAGCTGCGAGACTTAGAGCCTGATAAAGAAGGTGCATATATTTTGCTGTCCAACGTTTATGCTGCATGTGGCTGGTGGAACTATTCAGATCAGGTTAGAGAAATCATGGAAGGTAGAGGACTAAAAAAGACAGTCGGTCGTAGTAGTGTCTCCATTGATGGAGTTGCTCATCATTTTGTGGCGTCTGATAGGCAGCGGCTTCCCAGATGGGAGGAGATGCAGCATATCTGTAACTTTCTGAATAGGCAAATGCAAAGTTGCCCTGAATCTCTCGAGTTTTTATTTTGACAATATTTATTGGAGGTGGAAATCTTAATTTATTTAAAATCTCAATAAATTTATGGTAATGTGTACGTATTCTTCGTTACATATTTTGGATAGAAATATTATTGTTCAAGCTGTGTAAGATCCGTTTGTTTTTTTTTTTTTAGAAAAAAAAGTTTGAAATATTTTAATTTAGATTTAATTAATTATGTTAAATGATTATATGATTTTTAATGGAAACTGGCTTGTATTAATTAAATACTAGTCATGTTATGAGTCAAATACAGAAGATTTTAACGATTGCAATTTATTTTAGTTATTGAAAAGTAAAAATACCTTATTTATGCATTTATCTTGTCTCAGTGCATCATATTCTAACATTGTCAAATTTAATTAAAAATTATTTTAAATGTATTTTCATTTACAAAATTTAAACCATTAACCGCGCTTAAGGACATTGAGTCCGTTCCACTTCCACCGGCCCGATAAGGCTCGTAGTAAGAAGTAAGAACTAACGTAAACTAGATATTTCTAGACGACGACGAAGGCACGCGCATCCTACACAACGCAATTGCACAGGCGTATGAACTTGAAACGGACCCAACACCTTACTCCACCCATCCCCCACTCCGACAGTCCGACGCCCACCCACTCGCTGCCTCCTGTATTTCCTTTTCCTCATCCTTACAACTACAGAGATTCTTCTTTTATTCTTCGAGAAAGGAAAAAACAAACGTCAAACTTGATCAAATTTTAGCTAGCTGCTCACATTATTTAAACTCAATTTGTTTGGGTTGTCGTTAAACTAACTTCTGAAATAATTACCAGTCCCTTCAGGAACATCCGATAAATAATAAACTACAGAAAAAAATCCGAAAAAAAATTACATTTCACTTTACAAATTTTTACGTGCAATTCTCGAATTTTTTCAGATATCGGCTGGAGAACAAAAAGTTCATCGGATATCAGAGAAAAACAACGCTCATGCCCATCTCGCAACCCCCCACCCCCCAGCCAACCACCACAGACAGGCTACATAAACTTTCACGAAGCATCCAAGAAAAGACAATACCTGTCACATAAACAGACCTAAACCTCCAAACCAAGGCCATTGCTTTGCTTGTAGACGCAAAATATACATAAAAATAACGAGTCTCCGGCCAGCAACCAACATAGCAGCAGAGGGCGAAAGCGGATAGGATTAGACCTTGAGGACCCAAATTCATAATTTATAAAAGTTCACTAAAACAATGCGAAAGCATAAAGCAATTAAGAAATTCCCAACCGTAAATTGTTTATCCATTTCCAGTTCAATCTACATTTAAAAATGAGTTTTCACATCCCATCCAATTTATCTAATCTGGACAATGCCAGCACTGACCAACTTCTGGATCTTGTTCATCACCATTGGATTCTTCGTATGCTCCTGAGCAGCCTTGGGATTTTCCTGAAAATCGACCAATACCTGCATAGATCCCCCAAATTTCATAAGCACAGCTCATTCTTGTCACACCAACGCCATATACGACCAAAGTTAAGAGGAGCGCCGCATGGGTAGCATACCTGTCTCATAATAGGGTCTTGGAGGATGTTCTGTATCTCCGGGTCCTGCATTGCCTTTGCCTGAAGGAGCACAAGTAACATAGATGAAGAAAATTTAAAAGTGAAACAGTTTGTGCTATAAATGTTTTACAATTGAGTCACACCTGTCTCTCCTTCAACTCCTCAGGACTTATATCTCCACGGCTGGCCTTATTAATTTGTTCTACGCACCTGAAATAGATATATATGTTCAGACAATTACTCCGGTAGAGCGTATATAAAAAGTAGAAATATGAAACCCAACAAACACCAGGAATGTAACATAACCGAATACCTTCTTATGCCGTCAAGCAGCTCCTGGTTGTTTGAATCATGTTTCAACCCCTCTTGATACGTTTCCAAAGCTTTGTCATATTCTTTCATGAAAAACTGTATGGCACCTTTTCTAGTATAACCCTTTACGAAAGTTGGATCCAGCTCAATGCATTTGTCAGCATCTTTCAAACCCTCAGGCATTGCGCCAAGTTTTGTGTAGCTTGCAGCTCTGTTACTGTAAGTCTGAAGACGATAAAATAATTACATACATATTAGTTCCAGCATTTGCCTAAGTTACAAATGTAAGCTCCACTTAACAAGTAATATTACCCTAGGATCCTTAGGATTCCTTCTTAAAGACTCAGTGTAATGCTTCACAGCTTCGGGATAATTCTGTTGCTTAAAGAAATCATTACCTGCACATTTATGAATGACGATTGCGTTCAATACGCAATAAAAAAATGCCTATATCATAAGAATAAGAAAAGGCATGGGCTCACTCGAGAAGGGGGAGCATCGACAGCACACTAAAAGAGAGGGTACCTTTTTCACGCTCCTCGTCAGCCAATATCGGATCAAAGTATTCTTGCTGTTCAAGTTCTTTCTTAGCCTTTTCTGCATCATTCAATTTCTTCAAGGTGTCAGGGTTGCGATGCTCTGTAAGTGCCTTTTGGAAAGTCTCAATGGCAGGTTCATAATCCTTTGGGCATTTTGCCATTTTCACCAGGGCAGTTCCCTTCCTTGTCAAAGCTCTTGCAATCATCTTAAAGTCTGATCTCAATTCTCTTCCCCTTTCTACAGCCTTGTCACAATCTTTCATGCATTCTTCTAACTGTCGTTTTGAATTTTTTTTTTTTAAAAAAATTTTGTTAACATAACCTAACAATTTTGGTATCACATCAATGCATTGAAAAATTAAATACCAGTTCAAACATGCAGGCACCCCAAGCATAAGAAGATTTGATATAGTTACTTTTTCACATGAGAAGCATTCTCAAATATCCTCAGCCACAAACACTAGGTCTACTAGTAACATGAATTGGTGACATAGAAGCTTCTACACTTCAGGATCGCACTAATACCTACATCCTTAGAAGGGGAATTAACGTTCGACTAATTGTAGTCATTCTAGTAAAAAACTGCACAGAAAAAAAATTAGAGTAAAAACAACCAACTTGCATAGACATCCACAATATATTCGGCACCATAATAGGTATCGACCCTCATATACAATAGCGTGGAAACTAAAGCGTTTATCACTTCTGGCCGTTAAACGACATCCACTCAAATTAACATGGAATGAACACTGCTCATTAATATAAGCCAAGTCTTACCGAAAGAAGAAAAAAACCATAAGTCGACTGACATACCTTTCCCATTTCCAAGTAAACAGCAGCACGGTTTGTGAGATACGATATATCCTCATCATCCAATTCCATAGCCTTGGAGTAATGCTGGATTGCCGCATCAAAATCCTTCTTTTTGTAAGCCGCATTGCCTGCCTCCTTTTCCCTCTGGGCCTGGGCTTTTTTCTCCTTCGCTTCCTTCTCCTCCTCCGTCAATTCCATGGACCCGGGCTCGGGCCGCTTCTCTTCCTTCGCCGGTTCAGCTTCAGCAGCTCTCTTCCTCTCTGCCGGCGGAGGCGAAGGGGAAGCCTCGGGCATATCAGTGTCCTCGTTCGGGGTGCGAATCTTGAGGTTGAGCAAAACTCCAAGGGCTTGCATGATTCTTTGGTCTTTCATATACAAGTTCAGATTGTTGGGATTTTTCTGAATATCCTGCATCATCTTCACGAAATCAGGTTGCTGCAGATATGCTCTGGTGGTGGGATCGGCAGTGAGCCTAGCCCACATCTCGGGTCCAGAGAAAGCGTCTCCGAAAGGATTGCCCATGGGCGGCACGGAACGTGACCTAGAAGCCGCGGCCCGGGCATCAGCCAAACCGGATTTAAGTGGTTCATTATTGGGGTCGATTTCAAGGCCCTTCTTATAAGCAGCAATAGCGTCGTCGTGTTGGCCGAGTCCAAGATGAGCGGCGCCGAGACGGCTGTAGCCCTTGGACCAATCGGGCTTGAGCTCGACGGTCTTCTTGGCATCGGTTAACGCTTCAGAGTATTTGTGAAGGGAGGCATAAGCGGCCGATCGATTGGAGTAAAGGACATGGTTACCGGGGGAGAGAGAGATAGCTTCGGAAAAGTGACGGATGGCGGCGTCGAAGTCACCGGAAGAGAAAGCGGCATTTCCTTTGGCCTTGGCTTCTTCGGCCATCGGAAGGGAAGTCGGATAGAGAGACGGGTTGTGTGTTTTTGATTCAGGAGCACAACGGCAGGGCACACCAAAGAGGCGGTATGATGTGGCGCTTGGGTTTAGCCGCTTAGGCGAGAGGCCCCAGAGACTTCTGGGCAGGCGACGGGGATTCTCGAAGCTTCTGCCAAATCATCCATTTCTCACTGGGCAATCCCGGGCCCTCTTAGGGGATGTGTTCCCACCCTTCATCGGACTTGCGATTATTGTTATGTAAAATATACCATTTTGATCTTGTTTATTAAGATGAAATAATCATAATCAAAAAACTGTTTATAAACAGTTCTCAACTCTGCAATTTTTTTTTTATAAAAGAAGAGGGAATTCACCTATATAAAGGCAAAGAACCCTAATATTATTATCTCCGATTCTTAATATATAAGATTTTATTTGATTTTTATTTTAGTTCTAAATATAAGACTCCAATACACTTTATTTCTCGTATTTTCTTTTTTTATTTTTCCAAAATAGGTCTTATAATAATAGTAGTTCTAACTAATAAACTTGATTAGTACAGATATTTTAAGAAAGACAACACATATTTATTACAAATAGCTAACTTAACTTATTTTTTTATTCTGTTTGAATTAGTCAATTAGTTTATATATAGAATAGGAGGTAGCATTTAATTAGATGTTCTTAAAGAGAAGGACAGTATGCATGATTTATGCGGTCTGAGGCTTGGAGCTCGCCTCTTTTTTTTTCCCTCCTTCCTCATTTTTTGAAAAATCTCATATTAACCTTTATTAGATTAAAAAATAGATGCATTGAATTTAATATTTTATAAAATTGTATTATAAGCATAAATATATAAAATTAAACTATTAGAATTTAACATGCACAGTTCATAACAGCAGCATTGAACATATAGGGAATTTTTTTAATTTATAAAATACCGTAATAATAATTTTATAAAATACTAGATATGAATTATTTATTTTTTCAATCTAAGGATAGAATAAGATTCTAAGAAGAAGGAAGAGGATGTGCTTCAAAATTCAATAGATATATGCATGGCAAAGAAGCACCTGAATGGCGTGGTGGACTCTGGAGGCCATGTGTGGGCCAAACACAGATAAAGAAAACCTGGGCTGGAGAACGGATGCGTAATGACTTAAGCAGACCCTGGGCTCTCGAACTCTCGAGGCCCATATCTAATGGGCTCTCATGACGCCCCGTCTCTTGCGAGTCGTGATTCTAAGGACGGCGCGGCGGCGTATTTCCAACAGTTTGTGTTGGACGCGCATCATATGTACCCAGTCCCCAAGCACTACGACGTCTTTTTCTTTATTGATGTCCAAAAGCTGAAAATGACGGGTGAGATGAAACCACGAACGTAAGAGGGAAAAGCATCAACCTCAAAAAGGGTGTATTTACTGTTAAAAGACATGCGCGGGGGCTCCAGACGGGATGCCACACGGGGGGCACAGTTGACTTTGACACCAACCCTTTTTTCCTGTTTTGCCCTCTCTCCTCATTAACTCCCCGTGCACGTGAACGTGGCCTTTCATCTTTCGCTGATCCACTCTTACTACGATGCTCCGGCTGTCGATCGCTCGGATGAGCAAGTGCCGGCCACGTCGCCCCACCCCATCTGCGTTCACTGTTTGCTCCAGTTCGCTGCGCCATGCACAAGAAGGCAAAAGCCCATTGCATGCAAGCGTCGCCGTAAAATTCAATTGATTAATTTCAATTTTGTAACGCTCACTTGCCTTCAAATTCGACACTTTCCAATGCCTGATCACGAAGGCCCTCCTATTTCCTCAACACTCGCCACACTCGTTAGGTACTTTGATGGGTCCCGCGGCACACAGTTGTTGTTGGACCCCGGCAGCTTTGGATAGCCACCACGCATAGTGGACAAATTAAAGGATAATAAAGTATATGCCCCTCCACCCCCCAGTTCAAAAAGATTAATATGCCAACCACTCTCCTCTACTAAACCTTATCTTCCCCCCCCCCCCACAAACTCACCTCCCTCCAAACTGCTGATCCCCAAAATATCCCTTCATCTCCCTCCGCTTGATCATCATTCATATCGATTACCCTTTACTTGCTCCTAAAAAAGCCGTCATTTCTGGCTTTGTGGGCTCTCCCTTCCCCGGTGAATGTAAATTAACAGGAAATTCAATTATTGGTGCTGCTTGGGGGAGCCTGCCTCGCCAACAAACACACACCAGCACCATAGTGATTCTTCCTGTAATTAACGTCACCCGTGACATCATTCTCCCGACAAGCTGCGGATGAACCAGCCCCACACGTGACAGCGTCCCCCTGCAGAGGCTCAGTCCCCAGACCTCCCCCCGGCCTCCCCATTTTCTTATATTAGTAAGCCCCTTTTCTCCTTCTAATACTTTTCCTCTCCCGCTCTCTCAACATCCCCAAACCTCTCTCCTCGCTCTCGCTCTCCAACATCAAAGCCTTCACTTTCTCGGTTGACCTCCAAATTACTCAGGCTGAAAGCGTCACGGACAGAATGACAGGGTTGAAAGAGGCAGAGCCAGATAAGTACAGCGTGATTAATTTCGAGGAGACCGAGTTACGACTCGGACTGCCCGGTGCTTCCTCTGCAGCCGCCTCCGACTCCGAGCCTGCACTCAAAAGTACCAGGTGCGCTGGCGGCAAGAGATGCTTCTCCGACACCGCTGTGGATTTGAAGCTCAATCTGTCTTCCAACAGTGCTACCCAGTCAACCCACAAGCCAACCGACAACACCGCTGCTGCTTCTCCCTCTAACGATCCTGCGAAGCCACCCGCTAAGTATGGTCCTTCTCTCTTTTCCTTCTTACTTATTGTTTCTTCACGCTTTTCGCATATCTAATTTCGTTTCCGCTCCTCTCGTACTGATTCCATGTTTTACCCGTGACCCAATACTGGCTCTCGTGCGTCAAACTGTGATCGAAGGGCAGAACTAGGATTTCATTCCGTTGTTTTGGTCTGCGCTGTTATTCTCAGTTGTGCTTAAATTAACGCTTTATCAGTTCAGGCTATAGATACTATAGATGCATGGTCTTGTCCTTGTTTAACATGAATATAATTGAAAGACATTTATGTAGACAGGGAAGGCAATCATCCTGATTCCTACAGACCTGTAGAGTCTAAATATTGTTTGGAGTAGATTTGAATGACATAGCAAGATTTAGACTGATACATAGCATAGCGTAATATTTTTGGTCGATATATTCTCGAGATCGAATATCGAACTTCGGATTAAAAATTAGGCAGAGCCAGGGGCAGAGAAATGAGATAACTACGAGGCGTCCTGCATACACTCATGGCTGTAGGTGAAAAGTGAATGGATTCTCGCTCCAACCACTTAAAATGAGGTTTTGTGATCAGTGACTGTGATGTGGGAAAAGAAACATACGCATTCTGAGGTGCTGCGCATAATTAATTGGCCATGATGGGAGGTGGGGGGGGGGGTGAGTGATCCAGAAAATGAGCAGAAAGAAAGAGAGAATGATGAGTGATGCAGAATGGTTTGCAAATTAGGTTGCATATCGTGTGCGGATGGCACGGCTGGTTGTCGGGAAGACAGAGCATAAGGACAAGACACCAGGAATCTTTACTTTTTCTCCCAGGGCCCAATCATTTCCCTTTCACCGGTCAAAGCCAGCCCCTCCTTCGCTTATTTATCATTTATTACTTGTGAATTATCTATATCTTTTATTATCGTTATTTTAAATCAAATAGTGCTTCGTTACTACTCAATTATATTTGATTTGTAGAGACTTTGCGATTCTTTTAACAAAAAATAATCCTGTCATTTAATAATTAAAATTTAATATGTCAATATAAAAAAGCAGATTTCATGTTTAAGACTAAATAAAAACCCGAGATATACCGGACACCGTATATGCATCTGGGAGCTGAGGAAGTGTAGTTGAGGATGCATGTGAATGGCTTTGGCGGCTTTCAGTTGTGAATAGCGAAAAGTTGCTTGCGTCGGTTAACGGAGTATTAACGTTGTAATGGAATAATGAACACGCAGGGCGCAAGTAGTGGGTTGGCCACCGGTGCGATCGTCCAGGAAGAACATCGGGGCATCGCAGAGCCAGAAGAATCACAAGGAAGAAGGCGCTACGTTCGTGAAGGTGAGCATGGACGGCGCGCCTTATCTGCGCAAGGTGGACTTGAAACAGTACCAGAGCTACCAACAGCTGTCAGGGGCCCTTGCTAAAATGTTCAGCTCCTTCACCAACGCCAACTATGGCCCCCCTCAAGCCTCCAACCACTTCCTCTGCGAGAGCAAACTGATCGATCTCCTCAACGGCTCCGACTACGTCCCCACTTACGAAGACAAGGACGGAGATTGGATGCTCGTCGGCGACGTCCCCTGGGAGTAAGTTCCCATTATGCCTCACCATATATCCATCTCTTTCGTCTTCGTTTTTTATGTTCCTTGACTAACTCACGAAATCAACAGAATGTTCGTGGAATCCTGCAAACGCCTGCGCATCATGAAAGGATCCGACGCAATTGGGCTAGGTCAGTCCCAGAGTCTTTCATTAAGCGACTCTAGTGGCCTTTTACTTTCTTCTTCTTTTTCCCCTTAGTCTTATTCCTGCGTGTTCATGTACAGCGCCGAGGGCAGTGGAAAAGTGCAAGAACAGAAGCTGAGCTCAAATTTTGATATTTCAAACATCTGCCCTGCTGGGTTGCTCACCGGCGCCAAACTGGCTCCACATCTATATCGAATCTGCGCACGAGAGCCTGGATGATATGTCTGTGCAATGTCTGTTTTGTTTTTGGGTTTAATTTTCTTATATATGTAATATATATGAGAAAATAGTTCGAAATTTGTGAGGGACATACGGTAAATTAATATAGATGTTCATATATATGTGTGCGCCCCCTCCTCCCTCTTTTCAGTGATTAAAAAAAAGAAAGAAAGTGACTTGGTCTCTGTTTACTGGGTGTAGCAAATAGGCCATGTGCCCTTGCCTGCTAAACAATATAATGAGTGAGGGGATTGGTGACGGGAGGCAAAAACATATGATTCTATGAACAAAATGATAGGGTGGACCCATTCCCCATGTGCTTCCTGCCTTGTTAGGGCTCCGCTCATTTAATATTTAATCCACACCTCCCATCTCCTGCCTGTCGTCTATCTCACAACAGGCGAATCATATATAATTTGATCCATTTCTTAGCTATCGAAACGTGTTATAACGTATTGTGAATGTCTCCGAACCGCGAGGTGAGTTTGGGTCGTGTAAACGGTATCTTTTGATGTGTGAATGCATGAAAATTATATTACTCCTCCGGTCCTAATTATAAAACCCAATTGACTTATTTGAGGAGATTAAGGAAGTAAGTTAAGTTGGTTATTTATAATAAATAAGTATTGTCATTCCTAAAATATTCTTGCTAATTAAGTATATTGGCTAAAACTATCGTTATTAGAAGGATTGTCTTAGAAAAAATGCATAAATATAAGAGACAAAATGGATTAGGTCTTATAATTAGGACCAAATAAAAAGTCAAATTGGGTCTTATAATAAGGACCGGAGGAGTACTTTCCTAGTCTTATTTATAAATTTTTTCTAACAGGTTTTATACATGTTTAAAAAAATCTTAAATTTTATTAATTCTTATTTAGAATTTAATAATTTTTAAATTTTATTTTTATTTAGCATACATTATATCCTAGTGAGCACAATATTAGATAAAAAATAAAATTATCTATTTATATAAAAATTTTCGCTACCTGTCCTATGATCAAAATATTATTTTCCTCTTGTCCTGTAAATTTGATCGGAGTACTGTATTGGAGTCTTATCAAACAAGTACATAGTACTGTGTTTTGTTTAATAAAAAATACTTCAAGCACGTGGCATCGCGGTCATTTTCGTGATGGTGGCTAAAGCCAGTGCTTTTAAGGTTATGTCGGTCATTAATCAAGAAGTGCCCGGGAAGCAGCCAAGCAAGGTTCAAAACTGTGGTTCTTGCCTGCCAGATCTCTGCCCAAGGTGCTTCTTGCTCCATATCCGATTTCCACTTTAGGAAGTTCATTTCCTTCCACGCCTGCACATGCAGGTTTCCAAGTTATACAGTTGTTGTTCATGACTGCTTACTAGTAAAAAAAAAAAAAAAAACCGAATCGGTTTGTTTAACTAGGAAAACGGATGAATCGGCAATGGTCTAATTTGATTTGAGGACTGAACTTGTCAAAGGTAGAACCAATATCAAATTGTTTAAACGAACCAGTGAAAACTGATAAAACCTGGCATGAACCGATGATGAACCAGTTTAAATGATTATGTTGATATTAGTCCTATTTGTTCTCGTTTGGTTCATAATATCTCAGTCATTATAGATTTGAATAAATTTTAATAATGATTATAATATCAATTATTATTAAATTTAGTTATTGATAAATCATAAAAATCAAAATTCTCAATGTTGTTGTACTTTGTTATTTTTACAATTAAACTATCACTATATTTTTTTTGTATTTTGTTATTAGTGATTATTAATGTTGTTATATTTTGTTATTTTTAATTAAATTATATCATTTTAATATAACCAGTTTAACACCAAATTGACCATCGATCCAACCAACTGACTCTTGAACCACTACTTCAATCGGTTTAGTGTCCAGTATAGTTTTTTTTTTCTTTGGGTCTGATACTTTAGTGCATTTTGCACACTGCTCCTGATACAATATTTAATTAAAATATACCAAATAAAAACAATATTCATTCAAAAACTAAGGATGTTTCATCAACCGTCAACAATTTTCTTTTTGAAAGACGTGCAACCTGATCGATTAGTAAAATTGCAGTCGGGTTCCAAGTTCTAACACTAGTTTAGGATGCGGCTTTTATAACCATGCCCAGTGTGTCAATTTTTTAAGTTCCAAGATCAAAAGAGTTGCAATATCGTGAGATATTTTTGGGGGCTTGTTATCACAAAGGGATTTTTTTTGAATTTTTTTAATAATATCATCAAAATGATATAAACAACTTAATATACCTAGTGGTAGAGACTTTAAAACACCGCCTGCTAGATTTACTCCACCGCATCATTTCATCATTTTTCGTTAATAGCTCGCAATGTCTCTACTCATGGAGAAAAAGACCGAGCCGCTTTAAACTCTCAAAGGCCCAATACCCAAAATATGATATAAGGGGGTGTAATTCTGGACTTCCTTTCGACTGTCAGTTTGACGTCCGCCCTTTTCTTCTTTTGTACCTACGTACTTCCGAGCCTTTGGGCTGCAATGAACGGAACGGGGGAAAACCAACAAAAAACAAAATTAAGGGAAGCCTTTCTTCGCAGGCGACCTCAATCGGGCCCTTCAGTTAAAAAAAAAAAAACGACAGACAAACAGATAAATATAATAACGCATTCCTGGTAAATCCACGACGGGGACCTCATTAATGTCATTTGTCGGATTCGCCTTCAAACGGGCAGGGACAAAGAAGGGCGGCCCACTTCCACGTGGCGGATTCCCTTACACAAGACCTTAGATATTTTGATAGTGATATTCGCAGGGCCAATTGGTTCTCAGCTGTTGGATGCACCCAGTTTGCGACCGCGAAGGCATCCAACGATGCCGGTGCATGCAACCAAATAGCGCAGCAGCCGCTCTCCTTTATTATTATTAAAATAAATAAAAAAAGCGTAGCAGCCACATGGTCATAGCGAGCAGGAGGCCTATAAAGGGGCTGTAGGCAATAGCTTCCAAAGCCAACAAGGCAGTGGTTTGCCAAAGGAACAAGGCGGCGATGCAGAAACTGTTGGGGTGGCTTGTGATCGGCGCTCTAGCCGTTTTCGTGAGAGGTGAGCAATGTGGGAGGCAAGCGGGGGGTGCTCTGTGCCCAGGCGACCTGTGCTGCAGCCAATACGGATGGTGTGGCAGCACCGATGAGTACTGCGGCGAGAACTGCCAGAGCAAGTGCAAGGGCGGCGGGGGAGCCAGCGCTTCCAACGTTCGTGCCACCTATAATGACTACCAACCGGAGCTTCACAACTATGACCTCATCGCCACCAGAACTTTCTGCGCCACTTGGGACGCCTCCAAGTCTTACGCCTGGCGCAGTAAATACGGCTGGACCGCCTTCTGTGGGCCAGCCGGCCCTCGCGGCCGAGACGCTTGCGGCAAATGCCTCAGGGTCACAAACACCAGGACCAGAGCGCAGGTGACGGTGAGGATAGTGGACCAGTGCAGCAACGGAGGCTTGGATCTGGAAACCGGCGTATTCAACCGACTGGACACCGATGGCTTAGGGCACCAACAGGGCCATCTCATCGTTGATTACACATTCATCGACTGCGGCGACGAGTTGGACTCCTCCGGCCGCCACCCCTTACTCTCCATACTCCAACCCTAATTAAGCTACCCATAAGGCCGTTAGCCCGTTACCTTCCGAATAAGTGGCCTATATGTTTCTGTGAAGCCTACCTCAACGTACGGCCACAGTATTTTGTCAATGTATGCGCTATATTATCCATGAAGAGTAGAGTAATATGTATGTATGTATGTGTTGCTCCGTGCTGAAATCGAGGCTTCTCATCCGTATCATAATGTTCAATTAAGCCGCACTCTCTCTTCCCCTGCGTATTCAAGAACTTGTTTTCCCAGTCAAACAAGTCTTACATTCAAAGCTTTAGGGAGTGTTTGGATAAAAACCAAACCATGGTTTTAGAAGTGTTTTTATAGATTACGAAGTAAATATGTAGAGGAGGTTATCTCATTTTGCGGAAAAGTGTTTCTGAAACCACGGTTTTAAAGCAACCAAAAAGCTTTAATTCATAATTACAAAAGCGATGTCGCCGAGACCAATCGAGAAGCAGCCGTGAGAGCGAGAGGGAGCTGATGCTGTCATGTCACCTTCTTAATTTGACTGATTGGGGTTGGGCCCATGATTTTATTATATCTAGGGTGACACTTGGATATCTTGTATGCATTTTGACGCTCAAACATTCACATGTTCCACGCTTATCCCGTGGGAGTAAATTGGAAGAAAGGATGATGAGGTGGAGGTGAGTATGGATATGTACTAGTGAGGGCGAATGCGCGAGCTGGAGCCTATCATATGTGTGCACGCACGCGCACCCAGAGCGTAATAAACGAGATAATTAAATAGCAAAAGCAGCCGCAGCCCTAAGGCCCGGATTATTGCCTCGTGCCGCCTGGCTAGTAGCACACGCCATCTTCTCGTCCCATATAATCAATTCCCAACTGCATCTCAGGCCTCCATCTTTCTTTTCGGTGTGCTGCATGGATTAATTTCTAAATGAGAAATCAGAAAAAGTCAAACTAACAATAACCATACCCTGCCACCGTCTTAAGGAAACATTCAAAAAAAAAAAACTTAAATTCAAATCAGAATTGTTTTCTACATTTTAACAAATTCTGCAATCAACATATATTTTCCCAGGAGTTTCTTATCACGCCTTTGGGTATGATTGTCTTTTTACAGGTTTTGACGGTATGGAAGTTATAGAACTTGCTTCTGGCCATATGTCTCCATGAACAGGGAATCCAAATGTTGCTGAGCTGCAGATAAGGTCCCGAGATTTCCGGTCATATAACCCCTGCCATTACTGCTCTCCCTGATGACGTTTTGTTTTGGTTTACTTGTTCAGTGCTGATCCCCTGAATTCGAAAGTTGGTTGATGATGGGTAGATGTAGATGCGAGTACGCGAACCTTGAGCCTATCATCACAGGATCTGTATTGGATGCTCATTAGTTTTGATAAACACTCGATACTCATCACCTGATGAGTACTGAACGTGGACACTTTGTACACGCGCGTCCCAGGAGTGAAAGCAGTGGGGGGCCGCGGCTCAGATTATTGCCACGCGCTACCTAGCGATCGAGCACGCGTGGTTCTCTTATCCCATATAAATCAATTCCAACAAGATTCCTCAAGTCTCCAACTTTCATCTGCTCCGTTCTAGCCGGTAGAGAAAAGAATTCATAAGTAATCCTGCCTCTTATCCTAAAGACAAATCCAACTATAGCCATAAATTGACATTAACTAATATAATTAACGCGGGGAGTGTCTGAAAGTTGTCGCATGACATACAGACTACAGAGCAGGGATATGTATATTAACCAGGGCCAACGAGGGATCACATTAGATCCCACTTTGATAGAACCCTGCTTCTGCTTTTCAAGTGGAAACAATATCATTTTTAAACTACTCCAATCATCTATGCAAAGATGATGCCGGCAATATAGTGCTTGTTTGGAGTCATGTTTAGGTGGCTTTTCAGTAGCTTTTAGCTTTAACATGTTTGAATGTGTTTGAAAAAATTAAGAGTCTACGCTAAAATCACATATTTAAGCCAAAAGGTAAAAATTACAGATTATAGAATTGAAAAAGTGGAGAGAGAAAGACAACATATGTGTCATATTTCTTTTATCCAAACAAACTTCTTTTTATTCAATTATATTCTAAATAATTTTTTTACCAGTCTTATTTTTAGGAACTAATTTTTTTAAACTCCAATTTAAACACAATTCATCTTATTGAATTTAATTTTTATCCAATCTTACTTTTTAAAAAATCATATAAAAAATAAGCTTTTTTTCACTGTCAATCCAAACGGACCTATAATTATAGAGATGATGTCGGTTAAAAAAAAAAACCCCAAATTACCAGCAAAAATTTTGATTTAATTTCAAGGAAAAATTTAACGATAAGATGTGTCTTAATCTGTCATATCCTCCCACAAGGCGTTTTGATTGGGAAATAAATATTTCGACGAAGATCGTAGACTTGGTGTTGGGTCCACATCAATGTCATGCGTGCGTACGGTATGAATTATAGAAGTCAGAAAGCTTGCTGCTCTGGAGTCCACACAGCAGCAGGGGATCAATCCAAACGTGAATGAGTGGTGAGGTCCCGAAATTTCGAGTCAAAAAGAACACATCATTATTGCTCCCTGGCGACGTTTTGTTTTTTTTTTTTTTGTGAGGGACATACAATAAATTAAGAGAAAATTACATACAGGTCTCATAAAAGAGATTTCATTCATCTAAAGTTTCACAAAATTTCAAAATTACTGACAGGTCTCAAAGAACCTTAGAGTAATATATTCTATTTGTAAAATGACCTTACTGCCCCTCACATTCCAATTTCACATTTGTTCTGTCATTACGATTTACAACATCAGCAGTGACTATTAATAACCCAATAAGAAGGTGTTAACAACCTAAACAATATCCGTTAACAACTTATTTTATAAAATCACATAACCTTCACATAAGAATAAATTATAACCAAATAGTATAATACAACAACTTTAACACTAAAATGGGAAGCTTTTCGAAGCCATTAATAACTTTAACTAAATCTACTAGGATTATAGTAAAATTTTAATGTCGATATCCATTGACAACCTCAACGGTGAGTATTAATAACATAAGGATAACTGTTAACATCCTTAGCAATGTCTATTAACAACTGACTTTATAGGATAATATAACATATAACTATAACTAACTGAATTATAACTAAATAGTGTTAAAGTTAATCTTACATAGTTGTCTAAATTATAACTAAATAGTGTTAAAGTTAATCTTATATAGTTGTTGGATGTCATATTATCCTATGAAGTCAGTTGTTAACAGACACTGCTAAGGTTGTTAACAGTTCTTCTTGGCTTATTAATACTCACCGTTGAGGTTGTCAATAGATCTTTGTATTAAAATTTTACTATAATCCTATTGGGTTTAGTTAAAATTCTTAATGATTTTAAAAACCTTCCCATTTTAGTGTTAAAATTGTTGTATTATACTATTTGGTTATAATTTACTCTTATGTGGAGGTTATGTGATCTTATAAAGTAAGTTGTTAATAGATACTGCTTAGGTTGTTAACACCTTCTCATTAGGCTGTTAATAGTTGCTGTTGAGGTTGTAAATCGCAATGACAGAGCAAATGTGAATCTGGAATGTGAGGGGCAGTAATGTTATTTTACAAATAGAATATATTACTCTAAGACCCCTTAGGACCTGTCAGTAATTTTGACATTTTGTGGGATCTAAGATGAATAAAATCTCTTGTGTGGGATTTGTATGTAATTTTTTCATAAATTAATATAGATGTTCATATACATATGTGGCCCCTCCTCCCTCTTTTCGGTGATTAAAAAAAAAAAAGTGACTTGTTCTCTGTTTATTAGGTGTGGCAAATAGGCCATGTGCCCTTGCCTGCTGAACAATATAAAGAGTGAGGGGATTGGTGGTCCGAGGCAAAAACATATGATTCTGTGAACAAAATGATATGGTGGACCATTCCCCATGTGCTTCCGGCCTTGTTAGGGCTCTACTCATTTAGTATTTAATCCACACCCCCCATCTCCTGCCTTTCGTTTATCTCACAACAGGCGACTCATATGTAATTGGACCCATTTCTTAGCTTTCAAGACGTGTTACAACGTATTGTGAATGTCTCCGAACCGCGAAGTGAGTTTGGGTCGTGTAAACGGTATCTTTTGATGTGTGAATACTAAATACATGGGAATTATATTACTTTTCTAGTTCTATTTATAAGTTATGTTTATCATGTTTTATACGTATTAAAAATTTTTTTAAAATTTTATTAACTTTCATTTAAAATTTAATAATTTAATAATTTAATTTTTATTTAGCATACATTTTATTCTCGTCAACACAATATTAAATGAAAAACAAAATTATATATTTATATGAAAATTTTCTCCACCTACCTTATAAATATGGCTAAAAAATTATTTTCCTCTTGTCCTGTAAATTTGATCAGAATAGTATATTGGAGTCTTATTAAACAAGTGCATAGCAGTGTTTTGTTTGATGAAAAATAATTCAAGCACGTGGCATCGCGGTCATTGTCGTGGTGGTGGCTAAAGCCGGTGTTTTTCCTTTCACCAGTCATATGCATTAAAGCACTTGTTTTCAAGGTTATGTCGGTTATTAATCAAGAGGTGCCTGGGAAGCAGCCAAGCAAGGTTCAAAACTGTGGTTCTTGCCTGCCAAATCTCTATCCAAGGTGCTTCTTACTCCACATCCGATGACCACTTTAGCAAGTGATCATTTCCTTCGACGCCTGCACGTGCAGGTTTCCAAGTTATATTATTGTTGTTCATGACTACTTAGCAAGTATGATAACCAAGGTTGGGGGACTGAATGTGTCAGTTTAATAAAATTGGTGAATCAGCCAATGGTCTAATTTGATTTGAGGACTGAACCCATCAAAGGCGGAATTGATATCGAATCGTTCAAACAAACCAATGAAAACTAGTAAAACCTAGTATGAACTGATAATGAACCAGTTTGAATGATTATGTTGATATTAGTCCTATTTGTTCTCATTCGGTGCATAATATCTCAGTTACTATAGACTTGAATGAATTTTAATATCAATTATTATTAAATTTAATTATTGATTAATCATAAATATCAAAATTTTTAATGTTGCTGTATTTTGTTATTGTCACAATCAAACTATTGTTATATTTTTTTTGTATTTTGTTATTAGTAATTATTAATGTTATTATTTTTTGTTATTTTAAGTTAAATTATATTATTTTAGTATGACCAGTTTAATGCCAAACTAACC